TCTTTGGCCATCCGGCCTTCTGGGCTATTTTACTCTTCTTGTTCCTTCGCCTTTGTTGTTTCCTAATACGTAGTAGTATTCTATTTAATTTTACCTCGTCTATCATTAGGTTAGGGGCCCCTTACCTCCAACCGCTATTCCTTCCACTGCGCTCTGCCCGCTTGGCGCTCAATGCCGGTTTCTTCTGTTCCCTTTATTCGCAGCCACGACAAGCCGGAACCCCCCCCCCCCCTTCACACCCTACTGCGGCGAGGAAGAGAACGCGAGCCGGATATTCCTCTGATCACCATCAACGCACGCAGCGGTGCCGGGATGCAGCCGCCCAGGGCCTACGTTAATACTATTATCTTCTCTTTATTTGCTGGGCTATATGGCAGTATTACTATTACTCCGTACCGTTACTGTCATTCCAGTATTATTTTATTAAAATATAAATTGTTATTATGGTTTGGCGTTGCTTTCTTAATTTCTTCCATTCTGCGGCACTTGCCGTCATCTGTTAATTACGATATTACATTGTATTCTTCATTGTACGATTATTTACGACATTGTATTCTTATTATTATCCTTATTACAGTTACTGAATGGCAGCTCCCTGCCGTCAATTTCTCTTTGCTCCTGTTCTAAAGATGTTGCCGAAGTTCACGGCGTACTAGCTGCGGCTCGCAGACGCTCATTGACAACACAAGACTACACTCAGCGGCCACTCAAGGCAGACTCCTTGGCTTCTATCCAGCCCAATCACCCGTCTGGAGGCAGAGATGGGATAGAGACCAAGGGTAATGTTCCCCGCTCACATTCTACATCCGATTAGGACACAAGCATGTTATAGATTTGGCTTTAAGAATTGGTTCTTATTCCATTTTATTGTTTATGTATATGTTGCTTAGTTGTTATACCCTTTCTTGGTATATGTATTGTTTATATTCAAGATTTATAGTGTTTCGTTTCCTCTCCCTGTTATAGCTGCTTTGTGCCTCCTTGCTGTTCTACCGGTTTTCTCCCACCTTTGCTCTTAGCAAAGGTACTTCCCCCTTCCGTTTGCTGGAAGATTCTTAGTTTTGTTAGCCCCCCTTCATTGCTACAGTATATTTATTCGGATGCTCTTTATTCATCCAGGATGGTTAATTAAGGTTTCTCTTAATTCCTGCTGCCGGGCTCCCTCCCCCGTTTTTCGTCTCCGTATTGATTCAGCTAGGGTTTCCCTCTCGTCTGTGCTCTTGCCTGTCACGATAACACTGCACGCCGCTTCTGCCCACCCTTACTGCCTTATATCTTTCAGCCCGGGGGAGGTGAGCTACGCGACAAAAAATCGACGCACGCTCCGACTGGACCAGGTATCGCTTACATGGTCAGGAATCAACACTCTTCGGATCCTACAAGCACAGATCCTACAAGCGCTCCTGTCACCAGGCGAGATTTCTCCAGGATCCTACGCGCTGCCCTCTCGGCGCTAGGCTTGACTTCAGATGACTACGCCCCGCACCCAGCTGTCTCGGGACGGGCTCGCCACATCAGAAATAATTGCAAACGGCAGGCGGAAGAGTAGTGCCCACATCCTACGTCAGACGGGACGTTGTTGCTCTGCTACATTGAGTGCCTCACGCGGCCAGCTGGCACTCGCCCTTCGGGGGGGGGTCCGGCCGCTGGCCTGCGGTGGGGGTGCAGCGCCGGTCCCCATGCAAGTGTCCCGCTGTCCGCAGCTAATACTTTGCCCAGTCTAGGTGCTAGTAAGCCCTACTTGTAGTCACACCCCCTTCTTATCCATTAGGTCTTTTACGGCCTCTTGGCCGGGTACATTACGTGTTATGTGGTCTCTCACTTATTAGTTATTCTTTGTGTCCTGCCTGTTATATCCTAGTGTTATATAATTACTACACATTTGCACTCGGCCTTAATTCTAGTACCAGTTAACCTTTAGGTTTCTGCAGAATTAGTTTCCATGTCACTATAGGCTAAGGTCTCATACTTACTACGGGTGTACCTTTTAAGTTAAATCTAGTCCTCGGACTTGGAATTGTTACTGTTAATTCTTACTTTATATATTTACTTTATATATTTTAATATAAACGTTATATAGTCCTTAAATTATATATTTTGAAACTTTATATATTTACATGTTCAATATTAAGTTTAATAATATCAACTTTGTTATAAGCCTATAATATAAACCGTGTTTAATATAAACTTTATATAATTACTTACTTTATATTTGAACTTTATACATTTACATGTTCTGCAGAATTTAATCTTCAATAAACTTTAACGCCCCATACTGCCAGTATCTTTCTCCCCCTGGTCAGAAAATAAATATCTTTCCTCTCTCAATAATATGCCTGAAACGCTATGCGTACTAGTGGCTTCAGGTATTGTATGTACTAGCTCTATCTATAAATCCAATATTATGTTTGTAAATCGACTATTTATGTACTTTCCTGAATAAAATGAACTTTACTAATATCTAATCTCTGTGACTAAAACGTAAGAACGACTTTATCTATGCCTTTTTGATAACATATACAATTATAAGCTTTATTAGTGAATCTCTATTAATTAAACAATATATCAGAGAGTGTGTAAGGTTCGGTGTTCCATGTGCGAAGAGACATGGGAGATTTTACATCAGTACAGTAAATGTTTTAAGTAGCGAACGCATACTAACGAATAACGATTAGTATAGACCAACACTATTGTTCTATGAAGTCGATTTAACTTCCAGACATGTATTTTTCAATAAGTCTTAAATATTTTCTGGCTAGTTATGTTAGATATTATTAGAAATACGTATTCTACTTGTTAATATAATAAACTAAATTTGCGATCATTTAAGGAGAGAAGTGCGACGACTGGATCACTGTGTACAGAAGGTTGATATGCCAACAAACACTTTCCAGACAACCATGACCACCACACAGCCACCATGACCACCACACAGCCACCATGACCACCACACAGCCACCATGACCACCACACAGCCACCATGACCACCACACAGCCACCATGACCACCACACAGCCACCATGACCACCACACAGCCACCATGACCACCACACAGCCACCATGACCACCACACAACCACCATGACCACCACACAGCCACCATGACCACCACACAGCCACCATGACCACCACACAGCCACCATGACCACCACACAGCCACTATGACCACCACACAGCCACCATGACCACATATAATAACTCGGGATATAACTCCTGCCTCCAGTTCTCGAGCTCCTGGATGCCTCTGACATCATTTTCAGGCAAGCTTCACCTTCACGAGTCATCTTCCACAAGTTCCTTGGGTTCTGCCTCTGCTAGGCAGTTTACTGCTTGGTTTTCGGCCACCCTTTGTGTGCTCGGGTGTTGTCTCCCTTGTTTGCCTTAGGGTAAGGGGCAGTTTTGCACTGGTGCTGCACAGCTTGTCTTCACCAATCATGGCGGTCAGCTCTGTTCCCCCTGGGTACGCTGTCCTCTTGCGGAGTTTTCTTATTCTTTTTGTTTATCTGCCTGGTGTGGTGGGAGGGGGGGGTCTGCCTTCGTTCTTGCCCCCTGTGTACTTAGTATTCTTCCTTCTTCTGGTGGTTCCCCCTGCTAGGTCCCCGTGAGCATACATGCCCCGGGGATTCAGTTCTTAGAAGGTTGTTTGGTAGCTTTGGGCGCCGGTTAGCAGTACCCTGCCTGGGATTACCTGAGCACGAGTCCTATTATAGTAAACGCTCAGGACCCTGGGAAACCCCTGGGGGCGTGCAGGTTTGATGGATGTGACCCTGGAGTCTTCCCTCGCTTCCAGCGAGTTTGAGGGTTGCTCTCACCCATTGTCTCAGGGTGACTCTCTCTGTCTTTGCCTCCGTCTGCTGCCTGTGGGGTCGGTAACACCTTCAGCCCAGAGTCCTGCAAGTTTTGTTGCTTGTTGTGGCTCGGTTACCCAGTCCTATGCTGACTTTGCGGGTGCAGGCAGCACGGGCATTGCACGTTGAGCTTCGATGGTGGCAACGCTCTCAGTTGTTTCCTCCCCGGGAGCCCCGGGGCTGCCCCGTTTTGGTTGGTGTTGGGGCTTGGGGGTGTTGGTTGCTTCGGTTCCTTCCACGCCCCCTTGTCTTTCCCCTGTTGTGATCTACTCTGGTCCTCTCCTTCCTACCTGCATCCGGATCCTTACCGTCTGTGGGTTTGGGGCGGGGCGGATTCATTGGTTTTGAGACTCGGGGGATCTCTGGGAATTCCCCTTCCAGGGTAGTGACGGGGGCATTCGAGCCTGTTCCTCCAGCCGTGTTGTAAGAGTGTGCCAGTGGGCTCCCTTCCTTAGTATTTTCGTGGCTGCCCTAGTTTTTTCTTGTGAGCTGGGGCTTTGGGGGGACGGCTCAGCCCCGGGGCTGGAAAGGGGCTGTCTTGGGGGGCCTAGGGCCCCATTAGACCCCACGGGTGTTTTTCTACACCTCTATGTGGGGCTTGCAGTTACGCGGAGTGGGGTTTTTTTCCTCCCCCCCTTGCCGTACGAGTTTTTGGGCGTCTGCCCCTGCCCGGGCTCGGTTCCTTGTCCCTTGAGTCGGTTGGTTCCGTCCTGTAGGTGGGTGCTCTTCTCCGTTATTTCCCCCCTTTTTCTTGGGACGGGATGTCTCCATGTTCCCCTCTTCTTGGGGTTCTTCATGACTTTTGGTCTCGAGTGCGATTGTGCCTTTATGTACTTTCGTGATTTGTGCTTGCTTCTGTGTTCTCGAGAGTTCGGGAAGGTACCCATTACTTCTCGTATTATTGGAACGTCTGTCGTCCTTTGGTGTGGCTTCCCTCCTGTCCTTTCTAGGGCTTGTTGGTCCTTTTCTGTGCTTATTCTTGGTTTTTCAACATCCGCATTTTTAACGGTGCTACATAGCCTCCCAGCCTTGGTGCCGCCTTTTGATAATTACACATTATTCTCAGCTTTAAAGTATATTAATACAAGTGGTGATAGGTCCAGGTCTTCAATAATAAGTTGTGAATGTTAACTAGTGTGAATAAAGTACAATAAAGTTATAATACATTTATTTCCACAACATATTGCAGTCTTATACTTCCACACAACTGGATAGGTGATGTGCTTCATATTCATTCATCTAAACTTAAATATTATTGTTTAACATAAACCTCTGATCGATAGGTGAATAAACTTGTACTTGAGCAGTTAGTAACTAGACACTGCCATTATCACTATTATACCACTTACTATATTCATCAGCATCAATTCCAAGTCTTTAAAATTATTTTACGAAAGTCTTTACTTTAATCACTACATATTTGACCTGGAGGGATGTCAATATCCAAAATTTATCAAGTGCTAACAATTGCAAAATGTCTCAGAATGACTGCAAAATCTCCACATGTAGATAGATCAGGATACTGCTTATTTTAGTCTGCAGAGAATTATACTTTGGCAAAAAGAGGGTCTTTTCTACAAAGATCTGAATATATGATAAAGTACTGGTATTCCCCCCCCCCCTTGTTTCTGTGACCACGTAGAAATAAACATTGGTATCAACTAAGATTGTTTACATCTTGGCAGTGGCCTGATGAGTCCTTCAGTGGAGAGGCTGAAGGACTGATGCATACAAGCCTCATCCACTTACTAAGTTGGTGCACATGTCTTCCACAATCTCTCCATTATCCTAGAAATAAAGTTAAGTATTTAAATATAAACAGCTAAAAAGAGTGAAAAAAAAACTAAATAATATCCAGCATTGCATTTAGTGAAATGCCTTTTTCAGATTGGGTGTTGGTGGCCCTAGGACTCTTTTATAGCCTACCTGAGATCAGAACCAGAACCTAACCCAGAGGCATAAGGAGCAGGAATTCTTTACAATCACTCACCAAAGGAAATGTCCATAAAGTATCAATACATTTAACACTGGTTTTCTGAATGGGCTGAATGGTGACTCCCTGTAGCTAACTAGCCACAGATGGAAAAAGGAAACCGAGATTTACCGAGGAGGAAGTGACAATTAAGACTCGCAAATAAAGAAGAAAACCCAGAACAGGAAACCTAACCAAGAGGACAAAGAACACTAACCAAGTGACAAACCACCTAGACCCCTAGCAGACCTTCATAACCCCTCGACCCCAAATATCAATCCAAGACATAGAAACACTCAAATGAGCAAATTGTTTAACGTCATGGACCCGAGGGTAGACTGCAGGCTGGTTAGAATTAATGACTGCAGACAACCAGACATAAATGAGCCTTGGAGCAGGAAACTGAGGAACCAGAATCAATAAACAATGCATTCCCCACCCCTCTCTGAGGCACACACATAGTAAAGAACAGCTGTAACCTGGGCACAGTAAATGATGCATCCCAAGCCAAACAAACCATGAATTAACGTTCTGTTCCTTCAGCCCTGGTGGGTGATTTCTGCATGTGTAGCCTTTTCTGAAAGTGAGATAGTTGGCTTCAAGAGGGGTTCATAGTTACTTATTTGTGGTTTATTCAGCCGGGGTGTATCATTTGCTGTACAGGTTACAACTGTTTCCCAAACAATGACCCCACCCCCTTCCTGTCTCTGTATGGGGTACATTGTTTGCAGATTCTGTTTACTTAGTTCCCTGTTCCAAGGCAACCCTGTTTATTTAGGGTTGTCCAGTGACATTAATTCTAGCCAGCTTGCAATCTACTCTAGGGCCCATGAAGTTCAACAGTTTCCTCCTTTGAGTATTTTTCTGGTATGTCTCACTGATATCTGGGCTCTTAGGTTTTGAGGTCTATTCAGGTCACAGTAACTCATTGTCAGGTCAGTGTTCCTGGTTGGGTTTCCAATACTGGTTTCCTCTTCTTCACGAGTTTAATCTTTGCTCTTCTCTTTCCTGTTAAATCCCAGTTTCATTTTTCCTTTGTGGTTAGTTGGTTATAGGAAGCCCTTGTTCAGCCCCCCTCTAGACAACCAGTATTGAATATAATGACTAGCCTCTTTGACTGGCCCTCAGTGGGGCCCTTCTTCCCCATCCAGGTGTGTTGGTTGATGGTTTTAGACTCTGAACTGAATAGTGTTGACAAGGGAGCTAGCAGCTCCTGGTGTGCTGCCGCCTGTAACTACAGGGGTTTAAACTGACTACTGGTTGGACTGTTAAAGTGTTGTTTGCTGCGTTATCTTTTTCTCTGTGAAACTTGCAGCTGTCCATTTTGCTTCACTTAACTTTCTGGATGTTTCCTTCGATGAAGGCAATTGTTATTCGTTCCTCGAGTCATGCCTCGGGTTTAAACGGGTATAAAGAGTTCCCCGTGTCTCTGTGAGGGGGGCAAAGTTCTGGTCTTCAGTAGGCAATTAAGGATTCCTGGGGCTGATGTGATGTGTATGGAGCTATCTCCATGTGGCTACCTACTCTTCATTCCCTCCAGAAACTAAATTAGGTGTAATGCTGAAGTATAAAATTGAATGATAAATTTTAATACATTAACCAAATAGTGTATCTTTGATGAATACCCTTGTATAGAAAGTATTTAAACTTCAAATACCTCAACAAAATGAGTATGTGAAACATGCTCAAGAACTGTAAATATTTTCCTATAAAACAAATGACTCGGTTTGTATCACCAAAAAAACTCTGCATATTAGTAAAACTTGAGCAAAGAAAGCATGAAAAATTTATGACTCTGCACGTAAGTAATTATCAAAAGAAGGTACCAAGCCGGGGAGGCTATGTAGCACCATCAAAAGTGCGGGATGTTCAAAAGATGCTAAATAAGGATGCAAATACGAGAACAAAAGCGCACAAGGCAAACAACATCAAATGAATCCGAGTTACCAAGGATACTATTGAGGTGTATCAATGGACCAGGAAGTTGGTGACTGCGAGGGACGGGAAGCAAGACACACACATCCTAGATGTCAGGACATTCAACAAGGTCAGGACACTCCATTAAGTGTCTTGAGTTAAACGGGTATGGCCAATAAGTAACCTCTCCAGATCTGTTTCCCACTGCCAGTTACAGTTGTAGGAGGAAGGCCATGGGGGATACTACCCTGGCAAACTGCCACCAAGGGAAGGGAGGGGAGGACAAAATGAGAAAGTGACAAGGATGGGGAAATGGTCACTGTAGGTCATCAAGAACCCGCCAGGTGAAGTCCAAATAAAGAGAAGACGAGCAGAGAGAAAGATCAAGACAAGAAAGGGTGCGAGTGCTGGAGTCAACATGAGTCGGCTAACCAGAATTCAGAAGAAACAGAGAAGAAGGAAGGACAAAAGGTTCAAGAAGGCAGCCCTGGGTGTTTGTCAGAGCATCACCCGAGAGGATATACCAACAGTTAAACTCACCCAAAAGGAGCACAGGCTCTGGTAAGGAGTTCAACAGGTGTTTAAGATCGGGTCAACCAACAGGCCCCGGGCGTGCAAGTCCTCAGCCACCAGTGCCACCGAAATGGAGGGAACCGGCACATGGAGCTGAACGACACCAACATCCCAGGGAAGGGCAGGAGCAAACAAGCACTCATTGAGGTACTTAAGGATGCCCCCCAGGAAAACCTGAATCACCGTCGAAGCCTCCCGCCACTCAAGCGTGAGGAAACGGCAGAAAGAGTGCCAAGCGTGCGGGAACGGCAGAAAGAGTGCCAAGCCTCCAAGGCAAAGACAGGACAATCCGGCAGCCAGGACGACTCCGGAACCTCGTAACGGAGTCAGAAAGGGAACGATGGCCCAAACCTGAAGTCCAAGGGAAACCGGTAGTAGAGACGACGTGAAAACAAAACAAGGCAAGACTGAAGCGAAAGAAGACAGAGGACAGAAGGTAACCGACAAGGCCGACAAAAGACCAGAGGGAAACCACATCGGAAGTCAACAGACATTCCAATAATATTGGAAGATACGAAGAGACGCACGAACCAACGAGAACCCCACGACAAGCAAGCACAAACGCATGGAGGTACATATGGACAAAATTAAACCCCTGATCAAGGGACACGCAGGGACCCCGATACAAAGGGAACAGTATCGCGACATAAGCGCGAAAAGAGTAAGGAAAAGGGGCAAAACACACCCCCAGGAACGACGGGACAGACGAACCCAAAGGGACAGGGAACCAAACCCAGGGAGGGGTATACCCGAAACCAACAGGAACACAGAGGGGGAAGGAACAACCCCACTCTGAGGAACTGCCAGCCCCTTACCGAGGGTACAAAGACCCAAGAGGAGCAAACGGGGCCAAGGCCCCCCCCCAGGCAACCCCTCCCCAACCCCGGGAACCTCTACGGCAAGACCCAGGGCCGAGCCGCACCCCAAAGCCCCAGCTTGACAAGGAAAAGCCGGGGCAGCCATACAAACACTAAGGAAGAGAGCCCACTGGTCAGACCCATACGGCACGGCTGGAGGAACAGACACGAATGCCTCCGCCGCTAAGCCGGAAGAGGAAATTCCCCGAGACCGCCCGAGTCTCAACCCAACCAGACCCAGCTCCAACCCAAAAACCCGCCTACGGTTCGGAGTCGGAAGCAAGGGAGAAATTGTGCAGAACAGAAGGGAAAGGACGAGGAGCCAGAGCCGAAGCGACCTCCACCCACAAGTCCGGACCCCAACAACCAAAACAGGGCAGCCTCGAGGCATCCGGGGCCACAAACAACCAAGAGCGTTGCAGCAACCACCCCTAGCAAGCAACGTCGCAGCCGCCTACACCTGATTATCATGACCAGTGACCTGGGTGAACGAGAATACATACCAACAACACCCGTCGCACGACTCTGGGCCATAAGAAACAATGACCCAACAGGCAGCATGGTGGAGGCACAACCAGTGAGTGTCACCCTGAGACAAGGGGACAGAACAACTGTCAAACTCGCAGGACGCGAGGGGGTACTCCGGGGACACACCCATAGGATCACGGAGCCCCCGTGGGGTTTCCCAGGGCCCTTAGCCTTGGGTACACGCTAAGGGAAGCCTAGGCAGGGTACTGGGAACTGGAGCCCAAGTCTAGCAAATAAACTTCTAAAAGCTGAACCCCTGGGACGTGTCCACTCACGAGGGCCAAGCGAGGAGTACCACCAACAGAAAATACCAAAATAAAAACACCTAGAACAGTACAGGGGGACCATAAAGGCAGACCTCCTCCACCAGGCAAAAACAAAAGAAAACCCCCACAAAAGGACAATGTACCCAGGCGGAACAGAGCTGGCCACTGTTATTGGTGAAAACTAGCTGTGCGGTACCCCACGCCCCTACCAGTGACGAAAACTACCACCTACCCAGAGACAAACAAGGGCAACAAAACCCCTGCCGACTCCAAGGGCGGCCCAGTACCGAGCAGTAAAGGACACAGCGGAGGTAGAACCCAAGGTGACTTGTGGAAGATGGCCCCAAGCCCCAAGGGCAGTACTTACAGGGCACCTAGGGAAGATAGCCCTAGGCACATGCAGCCCAAGTACCGTGGAATCTTACTCCTGGCTCACACCCCACCGGTAGAGAGTCCACACCACAAGGCACAGAACTGAAACAAAAACCAGAGCCAGAGGCACTCGACCGGCCAGTAATACCATCAGCCAAGAACTGACAGTTGGATCGCCGGCGTGGAAGGTCTGGGGCTCCCCTCCCCAGATTAATAATAATAATAATATTATTGTGAGAGGGGGGGCTGTGCAACCCCCCTCCCGGGGAGGGGGGTTTGCACAGACAGTGGCGCGGCGACATGACGACGTCACGCTAGTTTGATCATTTTGTTTGGGGAGTTCTGTCCACTCGTTCCGCTTTCCGTAGCAATATTTTTCACCAGAATAGGAGTTTGTTTTGGGGCGCCTACCTTTCTGGGTGCCTATCCTGGTCGATGGCAGACATAAAACGTTCCCAACCACAAGGGGGTTTCTATAGGCCATTGCTCCTCATACCTCTCTGAGGGGGCCAGGTTCTGGCTTGTGGTGCTCAGTAGGCAAGAACTCCTAGCACTGTGACTGATGCCAGAAAGTTAAACATATTCATTCAGCCTGGGTAGCTCCGGGGAGCCGACGGGGCTCCCCCAAAAAATCTGAAAAGAAACTGTAAATCCTTGCGAAGAATTCAGGCAGGATAGTCACTGGGCGCGAGGCACTGGTAAAGTGAAGAGCGATCGCCGTGCCACCATGTGCTAGGTCGGCTATGTGCATATCAACAAACTCATATCCCAAGGTAAAGTTCGTATCCCGATTCCAATTTTCCGAACAAATCAGGCTCATAACCCGAAAAGTTCGTAAACAGGGGCTTTCGTAAACTGAGGTACCACTGTACTGCCTGATCAAGCAGTAGTAAAGTGCCGTGAATTAATACGAGCTATAATGGAACAAAATTTTATGTTAGTGGCTGCTAAAATACTGCACAGCACCCCTCAAAATTACCCAAAGCAGAAAACTATATCAGTCTGAGTAGATGCACCCTGCCTACAACACTGGGCATGTTGTAGGGAATTTTATCCTAATTGTAAACATAAAATTTTTCCAAGACGAGTCTCCAGCATAGATATGATAAAATACCTAAATTATTGGAACCATCTCAAACCTCTCAGAATGTACTCTCTGGAAAGGAGACCAGAGGAGTATCAAATAATATATACAGTACATGGAGATACAAGAGTACATGGAGATACTGGAAGGTCAGAGCCCAAATTTCCACAGTACAATAACAATGTGTTGGAACAAAAGATATGGAAGAAAATGCAGAATAGAACCAGAGAGGAGTAGAGGTGCCATTGGCATAATCAGAGAACACTGTCTGAACTCCAGAGGTCCAAGGCTGTTCAACGCCCTCTCAGCAAGCATTAGAAATATTGCCAGAACAAAGGTGAAAGCCTCAAGAAGCCTATGGATAAGTTTTTGCTCAAGTGCCAGATCAACCGGGTTGTAGTAACTATGTGGGCCTGCGGGTTGCTTCATGCAACAGCCTGTTGGACCAAGTTATCATAAGTCGATAACTACAGGTTCTTAGTGGCCAATATTGGAAGTGCCACAGGGGACAACACTTGGGGGGTGCCACAGTGGCCTTCACTAGGGGGTGAAACAGTCGCTGAAAAATTTGGAGAGAAGAAGAAGAGGGGGGGGGCAGAGGGAAGGGGAGAGAGCCCCTGGCCCAGCTGGGTACCCAGTTCATATTTGTTACATGTTCATTAATATAAGGTTTTTTGGTAGCAGGAAACATTAAAGTTTCTTTAGATAAAAATAATTGTATTCATATTAAAACTTCAGTAAACAAATAACCAACCCACCTCTTATTATTATTATTACTGTATTAATCACACAAGCAGGACCATTGTTACTTCCTGTAAAGATTTTGCTGGTTATTAATGTAAGCACGTGATATAAAATTTTCTATTGTCTGTTGAACATTTGAATATGCAGCACCTCTCTCGGCTTGTGAACGCTTCTGAAGTTCCTTCACGATGTTGAATTTAATCTCGGTCTCTGTTATCAACTGTAAGAGAATATACATTAATAAATGAGAAATATACAAAATATATCCATTCAAATTATACTTATAAAAATCCAGAGTATGTTTTCAGTATTTCTGTTACTTTTACACACACACACACACACACACACACAAACACACACACACAAGACACTACTGCACACGTAATTTATATTTCTTATGAACATATAACACAAATTTCATTATCTTTCAAAAAGGCGTATTAAAAATTAATAATTATTGCTTACATGAACAGAACTGTAAGATTCTGTTTTCTGGTAGAAATCTGTGAGCGCCTTTAAGAGAAGAGTGATGACCTCGGAGGCAAGATCTTCATCAGCCAAATTGTTTATCGAGCAATCAGCCTGAAGACATTTGTCTATTTAGTTACTGCAATGTGTAGCATACAAATACACACACAAATGTATATCACTTCATACAAGCTGGAAAGACATTATGCCCATACAGAATGAAGGCCACCTCTTCAACAGAAAACATGGTATGTTACTATGTCTTGGAGTACTGTATCTGATATGGGGCACACTTGCCATCTATATCATGGTTGCGCGAGTCCCTACTCAGCACGTGTTAATTACTTTCAAGCTTGCTATTTATTATAAATGAACAGCACTATAATAGTATTACTTCATTAATCATTAGACCCAGTGAGCTGACAGGATCATGTTCTGAATGATGTGATCGGGCTTGTATTCAATGCACTGCTCAAGAGCAGATTCAGTACTGTATATACTAATACCAGTACAGTATTTTTATACTATTCAAAATACATGATGACATACCACTTTTTTAAGCAGTAATCCAGTTGCTCCACCATCTTTATCTTGAGTTAGCAATGGTGTAGGAGTAGGAGCTCTCCAGTCAGAAATATTTGGGGGCGGAGGAGTATGGCACCTGCAACAATCATAAGGATAACATTGGTGTTCTCTCTCACCTGCAACAATCATAAGGATAATAACTCTCACCTGTATGGATAAACACAGTGGTTGCTTTACCATAAATAAAGTAACAATGCACAGAATCTTCATGCTCATGTAGGCAACCTCATACACAGTCTTCCATAGACATTCTAAATGGTAATGAGCCAAAGGAGCACCAAAATGTTGGTCACAGGACAGAAGTAAACACAACATGCAGTAAAGAATGTGTGAAGAGTATTGCAGCACTGCACTCATCTCAACCGGGACACTTACTTTCTGAACTGCCAGAAAGTCTTTGACACAGTACAGCACCAGAGACTAGTGCAAAAGCTGGAGATGCAGGCTGGAGTGAAAGGGAAAGTACTCCATTGGATAAGGGAGTACCTAAGTAACAGAAGACAACGAGTCACTGTGAGGGGTGAGGTCTCGGATTGGAGAGACTTCACCAGTGGGGTCCCGCATGGTTCAAGTCCTTGGACCCATACTGTTTCTTACATATGTAAATGATCTTCCAGATGGTATAGAATCATTCCTCTCATTGTTTGCTGATTATGCAAAAATTATGGAGGAGGAAGATGGAGGAAGACAGTATGAGACTACAAGATGACCTAGACAGATTGCATGAATGGTCCAACAAATGGCTACTAAAGTTCAACCCGAGTAAATGTAAGGTAATGAAACTAGGCAGTGGAAACAGGAGGCCAGACACAGGATACAGAATGGGAGATTAAGTCCTTCATGAAACGAACAGAGAGAAGGATCTAGGAATTGATATCACACCAACCCTGTCTCCTGAACCCCACATCAAAGGAATAACATCTGCGGCGTATGTGAGGCCAGCTAACATCAGAACTGCCTTCAGGAACCTGCGTAAGGAATCATTCAGAACCTTGTATACCACATATGTAAGACCAATCCTGGAGTATGCAGCCCCAGCATGGAGCCCGTACCTTGTCAAGCACAAGGCGAAGCTTAAAAAAGTTCAGAGATATGCCACTAGGCTAGTCCCAGAACTAAGAGGCATGAGTTACGAAGAAAGGTTGCGAAAAATGCACCTCACGACACTAGAAGACAGAAGAGTAAGGGGAGACATGATCACTACCTACAAAATTCTCAGAGGAATTGACAGGGGTAGATAAAGATAAACTGTTTAACACGGGTGGTATGCAAACAAGGGGACACAGGTGGAAACCGAGTACCCAAATGAGCCACAGGGACGTCAGAAAGAACTTTTTTAGTGTCAGAGTAGTTAACAGATGGAATGCATTAGGCAGTGATGTGGTGGAGGCTGACTCCATACACAGTTTCAAGTGTAGATATGATAGAGCCCAGTAGGCTCAGGAATCTGTACATCAGTTGATTAACAGTTGAGAGGCGGGACCAAAGAGCCAGAGCTCAACCCCCACAAGCACAACTAGGTGAGTATATAAGCTGATGGGTGGTAATCAGCTACCCAATGCAAGTTGAGATACACTGGAATGAATGGCATCTAGACTGCTACTACATACTGTACAATCTTCACACCACTTTACATTACCTAAATACATTTTTGCAAGAGAGCTTTAGAGATACTTTACAGAGAGCATTTCATACCGGAAGTCATCAAGTCGTCGGCGTTCACTCGCTGGACTGTATGATCTACTGCTGCCTCCTGGAAACATAAAACAGAGAAGTAACTTAAAACCAGGACAAAGCATCCCCTTGAAACATTATACATTTTTTGGATACTGTTGTGAATATTTAGCTGGATTGTTACAGTGCACATCATACTGTAATGGTGAGTGCGGGGCAAGATATGGTGCATGGATCAATCTTTTCATGTATCTTTAGCCATTTCCTACACTGCTCTCCTATTTTACCTCCAAGCTTTTGCCTTTCCATCCCCTTTATAGTGACATCAAGAGAGAGCACTAACAATAATGGTAAAATTATTTAGTCTGATAAGATCATAAACCTTCATATTCTGAACAGAATTTTTTTTTAGCTGTCCTATTCACTCATTCTCTAGGCAAACAATTATGAAATAAAGCAACCAAGCCTGTGTGAGTATGTAGTTCACTCACTCTCAAAGGCAAGATACTTCTAGACTCTGGTCAGGCTCTCACGCAGACATGATAAATTAACACTGCACCAACCCAGTGGGTAGCTTTTGAAGTCATCCCCACCAGGTCGTACTGCTACTTGCAGAATAGACAATCTGGCCCAAAATACACCCAGAAAGCACTAAACACATGAATAATTTTTATATGCATACACAAAATTCTCAACTGAAGATATCAGGAAACAGCAGGCTAGACACAAGGCATAATATGGATATGAAAACCTCCTGGAATGGGACAGAAAAAGACTTCGAAGGTAATATTACACCAAACCTGTCACCAGGAGCCCATATCAAAATAATATCTTCAGCTCCACATGGACAGTTGGCTAATTTAAGAACAGCTTTAGGAATCTGGACAAAGAACAACTCAGGATCCTGGAACATGTGGCACATGTGTGGCAAAGAGTGCTGGGAAGACGGGACACCACGAGCGTAGCTCTCATCCTGTAACTACACTTAGGTAATTACATAAAGTCTCATTATGTCTCACCACAATGCCATTATTCATGTGATCAATCAATCAAACACACATCCACATTTCCTGATTGGATAACTGTGCAGTTTTAAAGTTGTTGATTTGACCAAGTATCCTAACACTGCTTACCTTCCTGTTTTGATAGGTGTGGATCACACAAAAACCAAGCTAACCAAGTGATATAGTATAGTTATCCTTCTGTGTACACCACAATAAAGTCTGGTTAACTGCTAGTCTGGCAGCCTAAACAACCACAAACATTGAGAGAATCCTTCAGGCACACCTGAAAAAGCTAATTCCAGGAGAGACTGGCTGTACAGTCAATTATGGAAGCCTCATCTGAGCAATGAAATGGGTGACATAATTGAAATATATATATGGATGACAGTATAACAAAGAGGATATATATACAAAGAGGATATATATACAAGGTTTTATATACCAATATAAAATAGAACACACAACAATTCATATAAATTGGAAAAGTTTAGATTTAGGAAAGACCTGAGTAAATATTGGTTGGGAGACAAATTACTGGGAAAGATAACAGATGTAGGATTGCTCTATTATTTCAAATGCAGGTTAGACATATGAATGATTTCGGGTGGATATATAAATAAGAGCTCCCTCATATGGGCCAACACATGTTGAATGTAATGAAACGCCACTTTCTAGGTGAGCCCCGGAGGCTCCCTGAAGCTATCTGAACTGATATGTGCAATATTAGTTTGGGGTCATCAGTCACATTAGTTCTTATGTCTACCGGGAACCACAAGCCGGAACCTGTGCCCCTCAGAGGTGCAAGGAGCAATGGCCTATGAGAACTTTACAATAACCACTGCACTGCGCAGAGCGCCTTGAGGCGCTAGATTGGGGGTTTGCAGAGCACCTCAGGGTGCTCATAGGTATAGCATAGGATTCAAAACTCCCACGGCTAAATGGGGTTCACATCAGTATCCTCAGGGTTCTAGTAAAAGAGGCACCATTTTGTTTTTTTAAATCGTGGGCAACATTTCAAGTGTGAGAGCCTCAGTACTGAGTGAGCAACCAAGGCTGGTGCACGCAGCATGAGCTAACAGCACTGCCGTTCAGCTTGTGACCACAGCATCGCCTAAAAATGTCAAAATATATATGTAACCGGTATTATTTAGCCATGATAGTATTACAGAAGAGCCTGACTGCGATAAAGACTGTACAATGTTCAGATATCAGTGAACACACAGCTGTTCAAGATGTTCACAGTGCTAGCCACAGCACACTGCCATTGTTTGGTCCATCTAAGAATCTTGAAACGACTTCACATGTTCCTTTACAAAATAAACTTGTGGAAAAAAAATTTATTCATAGGATTTCATGACCAGGATTCTGATAATAGCAGGAGTGTGGTGAGAATTAGCAATGTGCATAGTATATTGGGAGGAGTAATCTTGGTGAGGAGGGAGGTAGCGTCATCTGCTGACTCTGTGTGGCAATCTGTTATTGTCTGGACTCATCATATCAGCTTTGTGGTTCACTACTGTGAACACAAATATATAGTATACTTATATATAATGGGTATATAGATATCGTGTAATAACAGCAAAAGGAGTGTGTTGGGAGGAGCCATTTTGGTGAGGGGGGTGTTGAGAGGATGTGAGTGAGGCTGTCGTCTGCTAGCTGCTGTGTCACTTCCCATGCAGTTTTTTGTGGCCACTATACTGTTTGGACACCATACCAGCTTAGTTGTACAGTTATGAACAAAACATGTAGACTTATATAGAACATGTGTAAATAGTGTAATAAAAACAATAACAGTATGGAGGGAGGGAGGTGGCGTCTGCTAGCTGGTCTGTGGTGGCCACTCTTGTTGTTTGGACTCACAATACCAACTTAGTGGTTTGTTATGGTCAACACATGTTGATAGGTATATTCAATGTGTGTATATACTGTACAGTAGTGTAATAACAGCAAAAAGTGCGGTCACTCGTCGAGTGACCCCAAAAACCCACCCACCCATCACTACCAATCCCCATGCATTTAAAGGTGCCAAAAAACCAGCGTTGAATGTAATCAAACGCCATTTTCTGGGTGAGACCCGGAGGCTCCCCAGAGCTTATCCAGGCTGATATGCTAATGTCAGACTTTTGGCATCAGTCATGTGTATGGAGTTCTGTGGGCCTACCGGGGACCACGAGCCAGAACCTGGCCCCCCTCAGAGAGGCATGGGGAGCAATGGCCTATAGAAACCCCTGTGTGGTTGGAAGCATTCTATGTCTGCTCTATTGATTTATTAAATATGGTAGACAGTGGCTCGCAAAGCTCCTCTTTGCATTCTTTAAGCACCCTGGCAAACACTTCATCCAGCCCTGGGGGATTTGTTTGGTTTGAGTTTTACTATTTGTTTAATTACATCCTCCCTGGTAACTGCTAAACTAGTCAACCTGTCCTCGTCCCCACCCACATAGACTTATTCGGCTGAAGGCATATTGTTAAGTTCTTCTTTAGTAAATACAGATATAAAATATTTATTAAAAATATTACTCATCTCCTCGTCATTATCCGTTATTTCACCTGTCTCAGATTTTAATGGACCTTTCCTTTCCCTAATCTTTGTTCGATATAACTGAAAAAACCCTTTAGGATTTGTCTTCGCTTGCCCTGCTATGTGAACTTGGTAGTTTCTTTTTGCATTCCTTATCTCTTTTTTAACATTTCTAACCAGTTGTATGAATTCCTGGTCTAAACTGACTTCCCCATTCTCAATCCTTTTGTAACACGCTCTCTTTTTACCTATAAGGTTCTTCAGATCCTTTGTTATCCACTTTGGGTCATTAATATTTGATCTATTCAATTTGTATAGTATACTACGTTCCTGTGCTTTGCTTAGAATATTTTTAAACAAGTTATATTTTGAATCCACATCGAAATCCCTTTTTACGTCACCTATCGCTGGATTCACGTCTTGCTCCAAGATCGGTCCACCCCCGCATGCCCAAGACTTTCAAATCTATTTGACCCCCAAAAAATTATTAGGTTATTGAAATCAGCTTTTCAAAAATCTAAATCTCTGTTTGTGGACAGAACTGTCGAGAGCAGGAACAATTTATGTGAGTAGGCAGTGGATGCCAAAGCCATCAGCAGTTTCAGTCACATAAAAATTATAGGAAAGATGGAACACCTTGAATGAAGGTCTCATCCTGTAATTACACATAGGTAATATTTGTCCATACATCAACCCCTCACCCTTTACAATATAGGTTAACCCACTACAATTTATATGGGGACTCCAAGGTATTATGTGGTAATGTAATAGAGTAAAATGCACAAATCCTCACCTCTCTCATATTGATCCCTGTAAACTGGCGAGCTCCTCCAATAACCATCACCACCACTACCATATGACTCAGTCCTTCTGCCATCTCTATCATTTCTGAAACAGAAATTAATAATAAATAGCAATTAACAGGAAATTTTGGATGTGCATCCATCTTTACATTACATTACCACAAGCAGTGATAGCCAATAACATTATTACATACAGGGGTACCTCGGTTTAAGTTTAATCCGGTCTAGGAGACACTCGTAACCCGAAAACTCGTAAACTGAAGCTAATTTTCCCATAAGAAATAATGGGAAATGAATTAATCCGTTGCCGACTACCCAAAAACCTCACTTCAAACTAAGTTTTATACATAATTCATCAAAATCTACAATACAAAACTATGTTCAAGTTATTACTTACCCTTGCTGATGACTGCTGTTGGTGTATGGAAGATGGTGAGGAGGGGGGGGGGAGGAGGTGTTACTGTTTGGAAGGGGAGTCTCCTTCCATTATAATATCAGGCAGTGAGGACCTCTCTGGGGTGCACTCTCCGGCATGTTTTGCCTGCATACCACTAGGTCCTGGTTGTGGCTCACTGCTTGATTTTCTTACAACGAAACGATCCATGGAAGATTGTTTTTCCCTTCTTTACAACACTTGTCTGTAGTAAGACATCGCATTGTCATTTAAAAGGTCAACGCAATGGCCTGCTACAGCTTTATCTGGGTGAGTTTTTTCAACAAAACTTGGCAGTTCTTCCCATACTTCACACATTTTTTTAATGAGGAAGGGACATCCTCTACTGCCTCTACTCACAACTATTTTCCTAGGTTGAACCTTACCACTGGCTTTCTTGGGACCCATTGCGAGATATATAACAACAACTTTTATGTTCAAATGGCCAAATATCCAACAAAACACTGTAAATCCTGGTGAAGAATTGGGGCGGGATAGTCACTGGGCGCAAGACACTGGTAAACTGAGGGGTGCTCGCCGTGCCACCATGCGCTAGGTCGGCCCGTACGCGTATCAACACCCTCGTATATCGATGCAAATTTTCCTAGCAAATCCTGCTCGTAACCAGGAACGCTCGTAATCCGAGGTACCACTGTATTTAGTTATGATTACTTAAATGCATGCATGAATAAAACAAAACATGGATCATGATTATTTGTGTGACTATACAGGTATCTGTACATGTTTTTCCTAAAAAGATTTGTCATGCCCTATTAGGTTTAAAAGAAAAAATAAGTAGACAAACATACAAGCTCTATTTGTATGATTGATGTAGACAAACCCAAGCTCTCACCTATATGGTGGTGATGAACGTCTTGGTGGTGGTGAGGGATGTCTTCGCGGAGGTGAGGGATGTCTTCGCGGAGGTGAGGGATGTCTTCGCGGTGGTGAGGGATGTCTTCGCGGAGGTGAGGCATGTCTTCGCGGTGGTGAGGGATGTCTTCGCGGAGGTGAGGGATGTCTTTGCGGAGGTGAGGGATGTCTTCGCGGAGGTGAGGGATGTCTTCGCGGAGGTGAGGGATGTCTTCGCGGAGGTGAGGGATGTCTTGGCGGTGAAGAGGGACGTCCCACTTGTGGTTGAAATCTGCTTATTCTTTTCTTCTTCTGCTTGCTGGGTGGTAGGTCTGGATTTTCCGATTTGCTTTCAGCATTGTTTTTTTCCTCTGTAGCACCAAGTGATGGTTCTATAAAAATCAACTAGTGAATGTAGTGAAATGCCCTTTGTTGTAGGAGCCCTCAGGACCTCCCCAATGATAAGCACCGATTGAGCCAAACTGTAGGGAGACGTGCCAGTCCTTTAAGACCCACCTTTGTCTACCAGGATCCAGGACCAGAACCTAGCCCATTCTTCAAGTCAAATAGTGCTCCAGTATCAGAGATCAACTAACCTGCTCCTCCCCCCCCCTAAAAAAATAGTGTTGAATGTAATGAAACGCCATTTTCTGGGTGAAACCTGGAGGCTCCCCGGAGCTTAGTAGGCTGATATGCTAATGTCAGACTTTGGCATCAGTCATGTGTATGGAGTTCAATGGGCCTACCGGGGACCACGAGCCAGAACCTGGCCCCCTCAGAAGAGGCAAGGGGAGTAATGGCCCATAGAAACCCCAATGTGGTTGGAAGCATTCTAGTATGTCTGCCATCGACAGGGTCAGGCCCCCAGAAAGGTAAGCATCCCGAAACAAACCCCAACTGTATTCTGGTGAAAATATTGCTACAAACGATCATGATGTCATACATCTTCGTGCCGCTGTCTGCGCAGCTCCCCCCTCCCCGGGAGGGGGAAGGGGAAGACCAAGACCCCACATGTCGGCTACCCACCCTTTAATTCTTAGGCTGGATGTCAAAACACACAAAAAACTGCCAGGGAGCTTCCGGGTCTCACCCAGAAAATTGGGGTTTCATTACATTTAATGCTGGATTTCTGGGGGGAGCCCCCCTTGGCTCCTCGGAGCTAACTATCCACAGAGGAAAACACATAGGGACTTACCCGGGAGGAGGTCGCTGCTCACTCCTCAACTCGAAGTCGAGACAACTGGCTGCATCTGCCGACCCAAAGCGACACAGGCCCGACTAGGCCCAGAAATGTTCACAAGGTATCAAGCACCCAGGACCCTGTTCGACCGCCAAAAATCCCACGCCCGAATGTCAGTCCACGACATGTTGCCAAAGACGGCAGCAAGAGTAGCGAACTTACGAACGTCACGGGCACGGGGATAGACTGCAGGCTGGTTAGCCTTAATAACCCTGCGGACGACCTGGGAGACCCATACCCAAGAACAGGGAAGAAGGGAAACCTGATCAACCCAAAGTGCGTGTCTGTACACAGACGGCGTGACGTGCAAATAACGGCAAACAGCCGCAACCGGACACAAAACATGATGCACCCCCGGCCTAACCAACCAAGCATCCAGAACCCAGGAACACTTCCGGAAAGCAGCAGTCTCATTCTTTGCCAGAAAAGGAGACGGCTGCAAACGAACAAAACCATCACGATGACCGAAAGAGCAGAAACCCCTGTGCCGGAGGAGAGCACGAAGCTCACCAACCCGACCCCCAGAGGCCAATGCCAACAGAAAAAGAGCCTTGGAGAAACAATCCTGAACCGAAGGGGCCACAACAGATCGAGAAGAAAGATAAGAGAGCACTCTGTCCAATGACCAGGATGGCTCAGGCGGCGCATGAGCAGGCCGGAGGTGAAATGACGCCCGAGACAGCTTGCGAAACAGTGCAGAAGTAACATCAATACCGAAAACAAGCTGAAGCGGCTCCGCCAGCGCCGCATGATACGGGGCGACAGTGTTAGGCATAAGGTGACGGTCCTGGAACAACTAAGAGAAAGGACACCACCACCCTAACAGAAAGTGAAGTACAACGACAAAGACTCAGGAAGAAACGGAAGGACCGCCAGGAAACCTCGTACTCCCGCTGAGACGAAACCAGCAGGTGGGACACTAACAAGGAAGCTACCTGATCACCATAGAGGTGATGATAAACTCGAGTCAAAATCACCATACGCGAAGACTCAAGGAGAAGATCGAACCAGCCACGTGACGTTCCGGTCCGATCTGCTGGAAAAGGTGGAGCCGCGGGAAAACCTCCGGGTTCGGACACCGAGCAAGCAGCGCCTGAAACCACGTCTGGGCTGACCACAACGGGGCCAAGAGGACAACTCATCCCTGGTAAGTCTCCAAGCGAGTCAGGACCTGGAGTAACAGCTGAACCGGGGAAAAGAGGTAAAGGAACCCCCTACCTCGATCAGTCCTGCCGAAAGGCATCGACCCCGACGGCCTCACAGTCGGGGAAGGGCCCCACATACAGGGGAAGGCGCCGCGACCACGCCGACGCAAAGAGGTCCACCTCGGGGCGACCGAATGTCCGGCAAGCCAACTGAAGGAGTCGGTGTCGACCGTACATGCCAGGGAGAGGGGAACGAAACGGGACAGGACGCCCCGTTTCCCGTCCCGTATCCAAAACGTTGGATACTCCCCGCACATGAACTGCCAGCTGAGCCAAACCCTGAGAACTCAGCAGACGAGCCACCTGAAGCGACCAGCCCCAAAGAGCCAAGGACCGCATCGAACCCCCCCTTGGTTCAGGCAATGAACCACCGGGGAGCAGTCCTAATGGAGCCGGATCGTCGATCCATGGGCGACCCGAATCCTCGGAAGCGTAAACCACACCGCCGTGAACTCCCACACCGTGTTGTGGGCTCGACGGAAGGACGGACCCCACCGCCCCTGGCTGGCCTGGTGAGCACTGATCACAAAGCCCCAGCCGAGAGATGACACGTCCATGAACACATCGAGCTAGGGCTCAGGCAGGCGGCAAGGCACTGAACCCTGAAAAACCCAAAGAGGAAGCAGCCAACGCAGCAGCCGACGCAAGACCCCCAGGAGTCGAACCCAGTGATCACGAGAGAGGCAGAAGGGAACCTCGTAACAAACCAGAAAGAGAACGAAGTCCTAAACCTGAATGACGACGGATCCATCACCGAGGCGTAATCCGGGTCACGCAGGAGGTAAGATGCTAGGGACGCCCGCAATGCAGACGGTTGGATGCGGGAAGTCGAAAACCTCCGGAAAGACGAATCCGCCACACCCGAGGGAACACGGGGACCGAACCTGGGAAGGGGCAGACACCAAATCCAAGTCGGGGCCCAAGGCCCCCAAGTCAGCCTCTCCCCAGCCCCAGGATCCCCCTCCTCGGGACCCAGGGCCGAGTCCCTTAAAGAAAAGGCTGGCACAGCTGAGTAAGCCGAATGGAAGGGGGCCCACTGGCCAGACCCAGAGGCTTCGGCCGGGAGATCGGACTCGAAGGCCTCAGTCGCCACACCAGAAGGGGCATCCCCCGAGACCACCCGAGACTCAAGACCATCTAAACGCTGCCCCGACTCCGAAACCCTCAGACACTTTGGAGCCGGAGGCAGGGGGGGGGGGGACCAGAACGAACCACCGAAGGGGAAGGACGAGGGAGAGCAAACTGAACCAGGGTCGAAGCGACCCCCACCCCCAAGTCCGGGTCGTTATAGGCAAAACGAGACAGTCTCGGGGTATCCGGGTGAACAACCAACCTAGCGCGTTGCAACAGCTAAAACTGTACATGCAACGCCTGCGCCGCCTGTACCCAGAGAACATCATGAGACTGGGTAAACTGAGTCACAAGCAAGCAACAGAACTCGCAGGACTCAGGGTCGAAGGTGTCACCGACCCAACAGACAGCGTGACGGAGGCAAAAACCGTGAGGGGTCACCCTGAGTCAAAGGGACCGAGCAACCCTCGAACTCGCACGAAGTGAGGGGGGACTCCGGGACACATCCATCGGACCCACGTGCCCCCTAGGGGATTCCCAGGGTCCTGAGCGTTTACCAACAGGGACTCATGCCCCAGTAATCTCAGGCAGGGTACTGCTAACCGGCGCCCACAACTACCAAACAACTATCTAAAAGCTGAACCCCAGGGACATGTACACTCACAGGGACCTAGCAGGGAGCTCCACCAGAAAACGAAGCGTGCACAGGTCAGGCACAAGTGGGGAAGCAAAGCAAGGACCCCCCACAAAGCAAAAAGAAAAGGAAAAACAAAACTCCGCAAGAGGACAACGTACCCCAAGGAACAGAGCCGGCCGCTGTGAGTGGTGAAAACAAGCTGCACAGCTCCCTGCGCCCCACCAGTGCAAACTGCCTCTTACCCTAAGGTAAACAAGGAAGACAAAACCCCCAAGCACCCAAAGAGTGACCGAAAAACCTAGCAGTAATATGGCCTAGTAGAGGCAGGTCCCAAGGAGCTTGTGGAAGGTGGCCCCAAGACCCAAGGGCAGTACTTACAGGGCACCTAGGGATGAAAACCCTAGGCTCATGTAGCCCAAATACTGTAGAATAACTCCTGGCTCTCGCACCCCTTGAAGACAGCCACCACTCTAAGCACAGTACTGAAAACTCTGGAGCCAAGCACACGACCTCCGCCTCTAGCATCAGCCTGAGAACTGAAGGGTGGATAGCCGGCGAGTGGGGTCTGGTGCTCCCCTTTCCCCCTCCCGTGGAGGGGGGGAGCTGTGCAGACAGCGGCATGGCGATGTACTCACCTATTTGTGCTTGCGGGGGTTGAGCTTTGGCTCTTTGGTCCCGCCTCTCAACTGACAATTAACTGGTGTACAAATTCCTGAGCCTACTGGGCTCTATCATATCTACATTTAAAACTGTGTATGGAGTCAGCTTCCACCACATCACTGCCTAATGCATTACACCTGTTAACTACTCCGACACTGAAAAAGTTCTTTCTAACGTCCCTGTGGCTCATTTGGGTACTCGGTTTCCACCTGTGTCCCCTTGTTCGCGTACCACCAGTGTTGAATAGTTTATCCTTGTCTACCCTGTCAATTCCCCTGAGGATTTTGTAGGTAGTGATCATGTCTCCCCTCACTCTTCTGTCTTCCAGTGTCGTAAGGTGCATTTCCCGCAGCCTTTCCTCGTAACTCATGCCTCTTAGTTCTGGGACTAGTCTAGTGGCATACCCCTGAACTTTTTCCAGCTTCGTCTTGTGCTTGACACGGTACGGGCTCCATGCTGGGGCCGCATACTCCAGGATTGGACCTGTGGTATACAAGATGTGTGACGTCATGATCGTTTGCTCGTTTCGTTTAGGGGAGTTCTATCCATTTGCTTGGCTTTTGGTAGCAATATTTTCACCAGAATAGGGGTTTGTTTGGGGATGCTTACTTTTCTGGTTGCCTGACCCGGTCGATGGCAGACAGAATGCTTCCAACCACACGGGGGTTTCTATAGGCCATTGCTCCCCTTGCCTCTTCTGAGGCAAGGGGGAGCAGAACCACGAGGTTCTGGCTCGTGTTTCCCGGTAGGCCCACAGAACTCCATACACATGACTGATGCCAAAGTCTGACATTAGCATATCAGCCTGGTAAGCTCCGGGGAGCCGAAGGGGCTCCTCCCAGAAATGAAAGAAAACATAACAGGATGGATCTCATTAAAACTCCTCATCTCAGCATCTCCTGTTCTCAGTCCTACATTGTGGCTTGTTGGGCTTGAAACCATTACTCCTTGTTTGTGTTACATCTGAGTTTTTGAAGAAAATGTCCGGATCAACATCATCCAAATTTTTCAATAGTTTAAACAATTGAAAAATTTGGATAATGATCCAATCATCATCCATAAAATTTGGATGATGATCTGGACATTTTCTTCAAAAACTCAGATGTAACACAAAGAAGGAGCAACTGTTTCAAGCTCAACAAGCCACAATGTAGGACTGAGAACAGGAGATGCTTTTTCACCCACAGAGTTATTAACCCATGGAACCACCTACCCGTCAAAGCCATAAATGCCAAAACTGTTAGGTTTTAAAATCCACCTGGAAAAGATCATCAAGGCAAATGGGAGGAACTTCGACAAGCCGCCAGCTTCCCATCCTCGTCGAGGCCAATAGTGATAGTGGCCCTCGAGTAAATCAGGTAAAGAAGTGCAACAATGTAACAGTCTAGCGTGAAGGGGCAGAGTGTGATCCTGGCTCCTAATAGGCAAGACTGGATATCCCAAGTGTAGTTCATCGTCCAATGGCTCGGCTCATTACATCCTACAATTCATTTCCTTTAACTTACTCAAAGCTCAATAACGCCAAAAAAGATTTTAGATAGTAAATGTTACAATAATAATACATGGGAAGAAAACATATGTTGAAAATAAATGGAAAGGTACAATGGGTTTAAGGGGTAATAACACTGTATATGGGGAGGTAAAACATTTGTCAGTTGATTACCTGTTGATAATATCCAGAGTTTTTTTACTCCCACAGCATGGCCTGTGGGCAGCCTTCTCTAGTAATTGCATGGTGTATGAGGCTGTTTGTCTTGGTAGTTCGCAACCCTCATAGCCAGCCTGGTCTGATAACTCCAGCACAATATTGTCCAGTTACCTCTTCAAATATTTCACTACTACAAAAAGTGAAATTTCCTATATCTGCTGACAGCAGACTCAAAAGTGGTGGGTATCTGATGTTTTCTGTGTTTTCTCTACGGCACCCTAACTTTTCACTGGACATATTTTAAACTTTTTACCATACCTATCACTCTTGTATATTGTAAATTTACTGTATAGGCTTGGAACCTGATCTTTCATTACTTTTCTTGTGTATATTTTGAAATCTCTCTCATCTCCGTAAAAAAAGTAACGTTTTGAGAAATTTTGTGTCAGTCCCAGTTGTTCAAGTGCTTCAATAATTTTATAAATGCAGTAAAGGCTCTCTGTACATTTTCCAGTTCTGCAATCATACCCTTTTACTGCTCTCTGTACATTTTCCAGTTCTGCAATCATGCCCATCTTGTAAAGGAGATGCAAAGACTGTACAATATTCCATACTGGACAGCACCAGTATTTGTAGAGTACTATCATTGGTGTTGCATCACTTGTTCTGGAGGTTCTCATTATCCACCCTATAATTCTCCTGGTTGTTGCACTATTTGCTTTACTGTGCCCTCTAAACATTAGGTCTTCTGACATCATCATTATTTCAAGGTCTTTGACTTGGTCGCTCATTTCTGCGAGATGTGTGTCTTGTATCCTGTACTACTACAGTATAAGGTTTTAGTTTTCCCCTACAAGACAACTGGAAACTGTCATTGCTAAACATCATATTTTCCACTGTCCATTGGAAGACTTGTTAACATCTGGTTATAATTTTTCTGTATCTTTCCCCAAGGCAATTTTCGTGCTTATTTTAGAACGTATCGCCAGCAAAGGATGATACAAAACTATGACTATTCCTGTTTGTCTTCTAGGTAAGTGCAGAAGAAGAATAATGGTGCGAGGACCATGCATTGTGGAACCCAGCTGTGCACTGTACTTCAAACTGAATTATGCTTGATTTACTGCCATTTTTTCAATCTGTTCATTAAAAAATAGAAAATCCAGCTCCTCACTATATCTGTCGATTATTCCAAGGATAAACACCCCCCACAGCCCGGTTTCTCACCAGTCCTCCTGGTTGATGGTCTGGTCAACCAGGCTGTTTGATGAGCCTGATGTACGAGTACAGCCTGGTTGATCAGGCATCCTTCAAATTTCACTATTTTTCAAACTATTTACTCTCTATTACTTCAATATGGCTCTTCACATCTCCATTTTTCCTTCTCTAATATTCCTACTGTACCTGTAACATTTCCCTCTTTTCCTTTTGGGATGCATGTCTTGGTCTACCTCAGAAAATGCAGGCAAATTGTATTCTTGACTTTGTAATACATACATAAGAGAGTTTTTCCACAGCCCCTCTCCAAGTCAATGATAACAGAATATGCTTCACTGTATATCCTCCAGAGCACTTATAACAACAAACATTACCACAATGGAATCTTTCTAAAATATCCAGCTTTCCAGAAGAGCAGGATAAGCTTCAGCAGAGTACAATAATTCTCTAATGTTACTGTGTGGACTGACCACTCTCAAGACTACCATTTAAGCAACTATAAGGTAACAGTCTCCACTTTACGAAAAGATAATTCTGGAATACTTACGAAGTCTAATTTTCTCGGCAATGGTCTTCTTCTGAAAGTAAAAATATATTTATTAATGTTATTCAACAACTGAAAAAACTTGTGCAGAATATTTGTTATACATCGATGATTCATATTGGACATTAACCCTTGTGTTGCTAAGGGCTAATTAGCCTTTGTCACCCACAGGCACATTAACCCTCAAACCGCTAGGGGCCCAAATGGAATTCACACCCACAGGCGCAACAAAAAAAAAATTCCAAAAAATTCTTTCGTCTTATAGAAGTGTTCATTTTTGTTCCCTGATCACGGAAAAAATAACAAAAAAATCGTAGGTGGCATATTTTAGCCGCAATAGGGTAGGGAAGTGTGGCAAAAAAGGGGCGTTGGCAGAGCCTTCGCCAGATGAGGTCTACTCCGCCCGAGCTGTCAGACGGCAGTTGCCACAAATATATTATTACCTAATTATTTCAATGTCTCTGATTGATTTTTTCTTAGTTTTTTGCAGTAATATTATTCCATACAGTGAATTGTGGTATATTTATATTATAAAATGTGTGAACCATTGCTGTACTCAAAATTATGGTGTGCATATTAGTGATTCAATTATTATGTTCATAAAACAATAAACAAATAGTTTTGCTGTTGTTACACTATATACACAGGTTATATATAAGTATTTGCATGTTTTGTACACCATAACGAACTACTAAGTTGGTCTTGTGAGTCAAAAAGCAATGAGGAGTGACCGCCAAACACCAGCGAGCCACTCACTGCCACTCCCTCCCTCAACACCACCTCACTCACCCTCATTCACCTCCTACAATACTCTTTCTGTATTTATTCACTATACACAGACGTTATATATACGTATTTACTTGTTTTGTTCACCATAACTGTACATCTAAGCTTGTATGGTGAGTAAAGGCCACAAAGACGTAGCTACTCACACAGTCAGCTGATCAGCGGCCGCCCTCAAGGCCAGACGCACTAATATTTGTCCTTCAACAATATTGTTTGTGGTGTTATTACGCTATATACACATATTATATATAAGTATCTACCTGTTTTATTCACCATACCTGAACAAATAAGCTGGTATGGTGCCCAAAGACCATAGTGGCCATCAGTAAACACCATGCCAAGACGTGCAGACGACGCTCTTCCCTCACCAAAATGGCGGCTCCCAACCTACTTCTCTCGCTGTTATCACACACTATACACACGTTATATATAAGTATCTACATTTGTGTTCACCATATCGAACCACTAAGCTGGTATGGTGAGTGCAGTCAATAAATGGTGGCCACACACAGAAGACGACACCACAACCCTCCCTCGCACAGCCTTACGCCTCCCTCCATGGAGCACAGCGCTAAATATCACCACAATCCTGCTATTATCAGAATCCTGGTCAGTTTTATCACAGTTAGGGGGCTTCAGTAATACTATCACTGCTAAATAATAGCAGTATCATATATATTATGGTATTTGTAGGCGATGCTGTGGTCACAAGCTGAACAGCGGTGCTGTGAGCTCGTGCTGCGTGCGCCAGCCTTGGTGGCTTGCTCAATACTGTAACACCCAAGAATGTTGGCCTGGATTTTTTTTCTAGGTGGCATCTGGCAACTATCGGTCATGGCTGTACTATAGCTGCCCCTATCCCAGGCGGGGCGTTTAAATTATAGCGCTAGACACGAAATCATATATAAATGATGTGCGCGGTTTCGGTTTTGTCACTGATATCATTTATATATGATATGCGCGGTTTGAGGGTTAAACAGTAAAAGGCTCAACTTTAAAATGCTCTACCATCATGATTTTGATTACCTTGAAATGCTTCATCCCACTACAGTGCAGATCCAGGGAAACATCTGAATGCATTTCTGAAGAGCAAAGCTGAAAAATCAAGAAAGCAAAATTAATTACTTGAAATAACTAGTGTTAAAAGTACCAGCATCATTTATGTAAAAAGTATATATGAACCAGTAATCCTATTAAAAATCTGTTAGGACAATGATGATGATACTGCATGGCCATTTAAATTTTTAAAAATTATTTTCTATAATGCTGATTTTAATTGTATTTATCCAAACAAGTTAAACAACATCCAGTAGGCACAGACCCGGTGGCCAACTGGAAACAAATACTTCACAGTTGTTACCCATAAGCTGCCATACTTCACTCATAACCTGTAGGTAATGTTCATGTAACTACACACAACCTGTAACTAAGGCTGTTGAAGCACACATTCTATCACATAACCTGTAGGTAATGTTCATGTAACTACACACAACCTGTAACTAAGGCTGTTGAAGCACACATTCTATCACATAACCTGTAGGTAATGTTCATGTAACTACACACAACCTGTAACTAAGGCTGTTGAAGCACACATTCTATCACATAACCTGTAGGTAATGTTCATGTAACTACACACAACCTGTAACTAAGGCTGTTGAAGCACACATTCTATCACATAACCTGTAGGTAATGTTCATGTAACTACACACAACCTGTAACTAAGGCTGTTGAAGCACACATTCTATCACATAACCTGTAGGTAATGTTCATGTAACTACACACAACCTGTAACTAAGGCTGTTGAAGCACACATTCTATCACATAACCTGTAGGTAATGTTCATGTAACTACACACAACCTGTAACTAAGGCTGTTGAAGCACACATTCTATCACATAACCTGTAGGTAATGTTCATGTAACTACACACAACCTGTAACTAAGGCTGTTGAAGCACACATTCTATCACATAACCTGTAGGTAATGTTCATGTAACTACACACAACCTGTAACTAAGGCTGTTGAAGCACACATTCTATCACATAACCTGTAGGTAATGTTCATGTAACTACACACAACCTGTAACTAAGGCTGTTGAAGCACACATTCTATCACATAACCTGTAGGTAATGTTCATGTAACTACACACAACCTGTAACTAAGGCTGTTGAAGCACACATTCTATCACATAACCTGTAGGTAATGTTCTTGTAACTACACACAACCTGTAACTAAGGCTGTTGAAGCACACATTCTATCACATAACCTGTAGGTAATGTTCATGTAACTACACACAACCTGTAACTAAGGCTGTTGAAGCACACATTCTATCACATAACCTGTAGGTAATGTTCATGTAACTACACACAACCTGTAACTAAGGCTGTTGAAGCACACATTCTATCACATAACCTGTAGGTAATGTTCATGTAACTACACACAACCTGTAACTAAGGCTGTTGAAGCACACATTCTATCACATAACCTGTAGGTAATGTTCATGTAACTACACACAACCTGTAACTAAGGCTGTTGAAGCACACATTCTATCACATAACCTGTAGGTAATGTTCATGTAACTACACACAACCTGTAACTAAGGCTGTTGAAGCACACATTCTATCAAATATCAAAGATCATAGCTAGAAACCACTTCAAATTTCTGAGATACTATATAAGAAAAAACAAAACAAAAAGAGGTAGCCATTTGACAGCATGGAACAGGACACTGCACCAAGAGCTGACGAGAACAAGAACAATGCTTCTGACAATCATCACATGGAACAGGACACTGCACCAAGAGCTGACGAGAACAAGAACAATGCTTCTGACAATCATCACATGGAACAGGACACTGCACCAAGAGCCGACGAGAACAAGAACAATGCTTCTGACAATCATCACATGGAACAGGACACTGCACCAAGAGCTGACGAGAACAAGAACAATGCTTCTGACAATCATCACATGGAACAGGACACTGCACCAAGAGCCGACGAGAACAAGAACAATGCTTCTGACAATCATCACATGGAACAGGACACTGCACCAAGAGCTGACGAGAACAAGAACAATGCTTCTGACAATCATCACATGGAACAGGACACTGCACCAAGAGCCGACGAGAACAAGAACAATGCTTCTGACAATCATCACATGGAACAGGACACTGCACCAAGAGCTGACGAGAACAAGAACAATGCTTCTGACAATCATCACATGGAACAGGACACTGCACCAAGAGCCAACGAGAACAAGAACAATGCTTCTGACAATCATCACATGGAACAGGACACTGCACCAAGAGCCGACGAGAACAAGAACAATGCTTCTGACAATCATCACATGGAACAGGACACTGCACCAAGAGCTGACGAGAACAAGAACAATGCTTCTGACAATCATCACATGGAACAGGACACTGCACCAAGAGCTGACGAGAACAAGAACAATGCTTCTGACAATCATCACATGGAACAGGACACTGCACCAAGAGCTGACGAGAACAAGAACAATGCTTCTGACAATCATCACATGGAACAGGACACTGCACCAAGAGCTGACGAGAACAAGAACAATGCTACTGACAATCATCACAAAAACATAAATGAATTTACCTTACGGGAACACACCTGACTATACTTGTATAATACAAATAAATATCAGTAAGATATGAGCATGCTACCAAACATAACTGAGTATGCTAAACAAACATAATTATGCTAAACAAATGGAGTGTTGAGAACTAAAGACTTGCAAGTGGATAATCACTCACAATTTAAGGAATAGGAATGACATCAAAGGAAGAAGTTACAATGAAGAATATTGTAGAAGCTAAATAACTAAATCAATACATAACTGAAGAAAATAAAAATGAGAGGCCAGGACTGCCATAGATAAGGAAGTACATACATACATGATTGATTATATTGAACAACTGGATACTGGTAGTGGAAAGCGGAAGGCAGATCAAGATGGATTGGACAGAAGCAACCCTCCCCTCACCAAACAACAATAACCCATGAAATGAACTGGTAAAATAATTAGAAAGACAGTTGAGGAACATCTGGCAAAGACAAACTTCTTAACTGAGAAGCAGTACTGGGTAAGGTAAGAGTACCTCACAAGAGTCATAAGAAGAAACGTAAGAGTGAAGGTAGTGATTAGCAAAGTTCTACAGGACTCAGTCTTTGGACCACTACTGTTCCTTATATTGGTCAGATGTGGCAATGATAAGAAGGCTAGCGACTGAAGAAGGCCTCACGATACTACACAAGATCGTCAACAAGCTACAAACTTACTGGAGTTTAATTCCAACAAGTGTAATGTAAAGACATTTGGGTCGGGATAGGAAGCCAGAAAGACTTCAAGAGGAAAGTTACTGTGAGAGTCTGAATTTGCAAAAATAAAAACAGCATTTAGAAACCTTAGGAAGGAATCATTCAGAACACTGTATTAGACAGACATTTTATGAGGTCTTCAGAGTGAACCAAAGTTGAGCGTTGGTACAAGTGACGAGGAAAGGTTAGAAACTTTCAACGATAATGTAGTAATAACTGAAGAAGTATTAACAGTGAATGGGGAAACTCCCAGAAGTCTGAAACACGGCAAATGTGGTACCTACCTTGAGGTGCTTCCGGGGCTTAGTGTCCCCGCGGCCCGGTCGTCGACCAGGCCTCCTGGTTGCTGGACTGATCAACCAGGCTGTTAGACGCGGCTGCTCGCAGCCTGACGTATGAGTCACAGCCTGGTTGATCAGGCTATGCACTCTATAAATTACTGGAAACTATAATCAAGAGGAAAGTGGAACATCTAGAGGAGACTAACTTTGAAATGGAGAATGTTATTAGAGGCAAACACATAGTTGAACTTTCATACTCTTTCACAATTTATCCTGTAACAGATATTTATTGTAGTTTTTAGTATTGTATATCCTTTGTTTACAAAATGTATCTTTAATACATAGCTTTCTTGCATTTACAAATTGCATAAATCCATTTTGAAATAACAAGCAAATTTTGTTGCAAGCAAAGGCGGCAAGATTGACCGATGCACAGTACAAGCCAACATGTGGAGGTGGCTGGAGTGTGCCTTCAGGCAAGGTTGGCATGATGAGATCACAGCAATAACTACGAGTCAGTTAAGCACATCGGACACTGGTGACAAGATCCTTTAGCAGATCCAAATTTTGTTTACAACTTTTCCTGTTCTTTCATCCAAACTTTTATTACACATATAAGAAAAATGGTAACTGTTATTTTGGACACAGCCCATGTGTATCCAGAAATATAGCCAAAGCAATAGTGTTAATTAAAACCTGAGCTGCAGCTGCCTTACCTCACAATAGTAACCTAATTTCCCAGGTTGGTTGCTAATGTACTTCAGAACAATGATGTTTTCACCATAAGTTTCATCTAGAAAAGATAAAACAAATGACATTATCATTAAATATTATAAAATATATGATACCCAATTTACATTCAAGAAACCACTTAAACCATACCAATCACCCTAGGATACATGAAACAATTGGACACACACATTTTTATGAAGCATACATTGTATTTAGCTATACATTTCACTCTAAGTCAAACCTTCACAAAGCTTAACTACCATTCCTTCATACTTGCTTGTATTACCTAATATTATGCTTTACCAACATTGAAAACCTATTAAAAGGCAAAATGGTTTCAAGATCCTGAAGAGCACCTTTCTGAGCAGAGCCTAACGAGATAAGTCATCTCTAACCATTATCAGTTATAATACTCAAATTATGAAAGCAAATTGGTCAAGAATAAAAATAAATATCTATTTTATATGAATTGAGAATAATAAAAAGTAATAACAATTACTTCAATTTCAGAACTCACCAAGCCTTTTTTTTTCATTATCACACCACTCTTGATCATGTTCATTATTAAACTGTATCAAGTCACACCAACTATTTAATGATGCCGGTATTAAAATTTGTTCGGCATTTTTGGGCATGGAGCTGGTATCGGCAGGTTTCCCCTCATCCTCCACGATGTTGGTCTTCTCAACACTTGTACTAGCACCATCCTTGCCTTGTTTTTGTCTCTTACTGTCACTCTCATCATTTTTGGGTGCTTCACGTTTGGCAGTTGGTGGCGAACTTTCATTTCTGACACCTAATAAAGAAAGACAAAATTAAATCTATATTGGTATAAAACCAGCGTTAAATGTAATTAAGCGCCATTTTCTGGGTGAATCTCGAAGGCTCCCAGGAGCTTACTGGGCTGATATGTATGTATTAGACTGTGGCATCAGTCAATTCGATGGAGTTCTAGCCTACCGGGGACCACGAGCCAGAACCTGGCCTCCTTAGGGAGGGACGAGGAGTAATAGCCTATAGAAACCCCCATGGGGTTGGAAGCAGTCTATATCTGCCATCTACCGGGTTAGGCACCTAGAAAGGTAGGTGTCCCCAAAAAAACTACACCTGGTTAAATATTGCTACTGAAAGCCTAACTAACAAGCAGAACTCCCCCAAACTGGCCAGGATCCTGTTCAACCACCAAAAATCCCGCGCCCGAATGTCAGCCCAGGACATGTTATCAAAAACAGTAGCCAAAGCTGCGAACTTGCAAATGTTGTGCACGGGGGATAGACCACAGGCTGGCTGGACCTAATAACCCTGCAGATGACCTGGGAGATCCAAACCCTGGAACAGGGAAGAAGTAAAACCAGGTCAACCCAAAGCGTGTCCCCAGCCACAGAGGCCAGGGCACACAAATAATGGCAAAGAACCACAACAGGACACAATACATGATGCACCAATGGCCTAGCCAACCAAGCACCAACAACCCAAGAAACCCTCTAGAAAGCAGCCGTGTATTCTTCACCAGAAAAGAATGAGACGGCTGCAAACAAACAAACAAACCGACCACCAGGACCAAAAGAGCAGAAACCCCTGCACCAGAGGAGGGCATAAAGCCCCCTGACCTGACCCCCAGAGGCCAATGCCAACAAGAAAAGAGGCTTAGAAAAACAATCCTGAACGAAGGGGGCACCACAAACCGAGAAAAGAGAGCACCCAGTCCAACGACAAGGATAGCTCTGGCGGCGCAGGAGCAGGCCGGAGGTGAAAGAAAGCACAAAAAAGCTTGCGGAATAGAGCAGAAGTGATATCTACCCCAAACTCAAGCTGAAGCAGCTCTGCCAACGGCGCACAACATGAGACGACAGTACTCGGCATAAGATGACAGCTCTGAAACAGTCAAGAGAAAGAACAAAACACCCCAATCCGAAATCGAAGATAATCTACGAAGAGACAAACAGTGACGAAAGGACCGCCAGGAAACTTCATATCGTACTGCAGCCGAGACGAAACACGCAGGTGGGACACCATCAACGAAGCCACCTGACCAACATACAGGTGGTGAGAAACCCGCGTCAGAAAGATCAGAAGTGAAGATCGGAGAACAAAAAATCTGCCACATACCAGACTGGACCGAGCTGCTGAAAGAGGCGGAGCTGTGGAAAGAACCCCGGGTTCGGACACCGAGCGAGCAGTGCCTGAAACCAAGGCTGGTCCGGCTGACAACAGGACTACTCTTCCTGGGAAGTCTCCAACCGAGCCAGAACTCGAAGCAACAGCTGGACCAGGGGAAAAGAGGGACAGGTAACCCCATCTCGACCAGTCCTGCCGAAAAGCACCGACCGCGGTGACCTCGCAGTCAGGGAAGGACATATACCCGGAGACGCCTCGACCATACCGACGCAGAGAGGTCCACTGCCGTACATCCGGCAGAGCCAACTGAAAGAGTGTGCATCGACTGTCCATTCCATGGATAAGGGAATGAACCGGTATAGGTCGCCCACCAGGACGTTGGACACTCCTTGGATATGAACCACCCGGAGAGTCAAACCCCGAGAATCCAGCAGATGAGTCACCCGAAGCGACCAGCCCCAAAGGGCAAATGACCACATTGAACTTCTACGGTTCAGACAATGAACCACTAGGGAGTGTGAACCACCACCAGTGGTTCATTGTGAACCACGCATGCCACACGGCTAAACAAAAGAAAGGGCAGTCTGCCCTTTCCAGCCAGGAAAACTTTGGCACCTCGTAATGAACCCAGGAAGGAAAAATGGAACCAAACTCAAAAGGAGGAAGATCCATGATCAAGGCAAAATCCAGGCCTCTCATGGTGTACGAAACAATAGCCTCCCAAACCTCCTTAGGTGGGATGCGGGAAGCCGAAATCCTCCGGAAAGAGGGAACCAAAGAACCCAGGGAAACCCGGAACTGAACCCAGGGAGGAGCAGAACCCATATCAAACTCGAATAGGGAGGGAGGAAAAGAAAATCCCTCTCCCAGCAGCAACAAGCCCCACGCCGAGGATACCAACTCCCAATCCTCCCCAGCCCTGGGATCCTCCACGTCAGGACCCGGGACAGAGTCACCCTCCAAAACCTCTACCTCCGGAGAAAAGGCAGAGTCCACCGAAAAAGCAGGGATGAAGGGGGGGGGGGGGTCTGCTGGCTCGACCCAAAAGCCCCAGCAGGAGGAACCCTGCGGATGCAGGGTTAAATATATACCTCCACCGCCAAACCAGAAGGAGCAGCTCCTGAAATCCCCCCGAGTTTCACCATCATCTAAACCCTGCCTCGACTATGAAACCCTCAGACGTTTAGGAGCTGGCAACAGGGAAGGAGAAGCAGGACAAACAACAGAAGGGGGAAGGACAAGGGGGCGCGGACGAAACCAAAGTCGAGGTGACTAATGCCAAGTCTTGGTATCTATAACCAAAGCGGGGCATCCTCGGGGCATCCAGAAAGGCAACCAACCTAGCGCGTTGCAGCAAACTATACTTTGCATGGAACACTGAAGCCACCTGCACCCGAATATCAATATCAGTGGACTGGGTGAATTGAAGTACAAGCAAGGAACACCAGGAACATTGACCCAACAGGCTGCATTGCCAACACAAAGACGATGAGTGTCACCCTGAGACAAGGGGACAGAGCAACCTCCAAACTCGCACGAAGCGAGATGGGACTCGGAGGACGTATCTATGGGACCAATGAGCTCCTATGGGGTTTTCCAGAACCCATAGGCTGACTGGTATGGAAAGCCCAGACAAAGTACAGCTAACCGTTATCCCAGAACCAAACAAACAAAAAGCTGAACACCTGCGACGTGTACAATCACGGGTGTCTAGCAGAGGGCCACCAAAATAATACAAGTGGTTTTGTAGCCACACCAGGCAGACCCCCACCAGGCAACAAAACAAAACAAAAAACAAAAAACAAAAACAGCTAAAGCACAATTTTCCCAGGAGAAATTGAACCGGTGGCTATGTATATTATAAAATAGCTGCACAGTACCTTGTGCCCTGTCAGCGACAACACCACCACCTACCCAAGGTCAAACAGTGGCACGAAAACCCAGCTGACCCCAAGGGCATGCAATCACCGAGCAGCAAAAGAACCCTGCGGAGGCAGTTCTTGAACAGTTTGTGAACCACCACCACAAGGTGTTGTGTTGTGCTACAATCGAATAACTGCCACTCAACACATCAGCCTCAGAATTGGGGTTGGATAGCTGGTGCAGGGAAGTCTGGTGCTCCCCTATCTGGGGAAAGCTGCACAGACAGTGGCGCAGCAGCAATGGTGACGTCAAGCTTATTTGCTTGTATTAAGTTTGAGTTCTGCTTGCTAGTTCGGCTTTCGGTTGCAAGTTTTATCCAGCTGTAGTTTGTTTTGGGGTGCCTACATTACTGGGTGCCTAACCCGGTAGATAGCAGACATAGAATGCTTCCAACCACACGGGGGTTTCTATAGGTCATTGCTCCTCATGCCTCTCTGAGGGGGGGCCAGGTTCTGGCACATGGTTCCCGGTAGGTCTAGAACTCCATTCGCTTGACTGATGCCAGGGTCTAATACATTCATATCAGCCTGGATAGTTCAAGGAAACCAACCCCTAGAAAAGTGTCCTGTATCTAATGCAGTTGTATTAAGGATGTGAGACCGACCGCCATAGGCTTGGGAGCTTGACAAGCGTACCGGCCAAGTTCGCTAAACACAAAAATCCTACTAATAATAAAATATTGAAAGCACACTGAGCTATCACAGTCTGTTATCACAAACTTACGAAACGTTAGCAGTTATGAAGGAAGCTCACATCAATTCACCATCTTACCCAGCATACATAACCCACACCTGATATGTCATATACTTTAAGAACAAGAGGTCATAGATTTAAACTAGCTAAACACAGATGCCGAAGAAATATAAGAAAATTCACTTTCGCAAACAGAGTGGTAGACGGTTGGAACAAGTTAGGTGAGAAGGTGGTGGAGGCCAAGACCATCAGTAGTTTCAAAGCATTATATGACGAAGAGTGCTGGGACGACGGGACACCACGAGCGTAGCTCTCATCCTGTAACTACACTTAGGTAATTACATTAATTAATGACTGTTACCATTAAGATGCATTTATTCATTATCTAAATACAAAATGCTCCTAGAAATTTGAAAGGAATGTTCAACTTTCATCCGTCTGTCAGCCGTTTGCAATGAGTGAATGACCACAAAACCAGAGCACTGTAATAGTGCGCCTCCACTGGGAGCGCCGCCCTGGTGGCCTGATGCGGCAACACATCATCACCTCTGGAAATATAAGATCACATCCTATTTAGCAATTATCTTCCCAAAATATAAACTAAACAGCTGATCTTAGATGAGGTAAGAGTTGGGGTACAAAATCCACTTTAAAATATCTTTCCATAAATGTATGATGAAACATACTAAAATAATTTTTGCAACAAAATATCCTTGTAAAAAAGGGTGCATCCTATGTGAGGATACATCTTTTACGCTGGCAAATACAATAATTACCTGTTGTCATTAACACAAGGACCAGCAACATCATCACTACCTCCAGTACACATGTTGTCATTAACACCAGGAAATAGCAGCATTACCACTACCTCCCATACACCTGTTGTCATTAACACCTTGACCAACAGCATTATCACTACATCTTACCAGGGACCCTCTTAATTACAGACCTGTATCATTGACAAGCATGTAGTCAAAACATTAAAAAAAAAATCCAGCGTTGAATGTAATGAAACGCCATTTTCTGGGTGAGACCCGGAGACTCCCCGGAGCTTATCCAGGCTGATATGCTAATGTCAGACTTTGGCATAAGTCATGTGTATGGAGTTCTGTGGGCCTACCGGGGATCACGAGCCAGAACCTGGCCCCCTCAGAGAGGTATGGGGAGCAATGGCCTATAGAAACCCTCGTGTGGTTGGAAGCATTCTATGTTAGCCATCGACCAGGTAAGGCACCCTGAAAGATAAGCATCCCAAAGCAAACCCCTATTCTGATGAAAATTGCTACTAAAAGCCGAACAAATGGATAGAACTCCCCAAAAAAAAACTAGCAAACAACTATGACATCACATGTCGCTGCGCCGCTGTCTGCGCAGTTCCCCCCCCTCCCTGGGAGGGGGAAGGGGGAGCCCCCAGACCCCCGCGCTGGCTATCCACCGTCAGTTCTGAAGCTGGATGTCAAAAAACGAGAAAAACCGCCGACCGGAGGGAGGGAGGGATGCCGGGGAGCCTCCAGGTCTCACCCAGAAAATGGCGTTTCATTACATTCAATGCTGGTTTTCTGGGGGGAGCCCCTTCAGCACCATACACTGCCCACTCCCATGGGCAGTGTATGATGTCCATGTCTAAAGAAACACATCAATGAACTGGCTTTGCACCCCTGGAGAGGCCACTACAGACCAACAACTAGAGAGCGCAACTCCATAGTCTCCCGAGACTGATAGATGCCTACTACTTAACACCAGGACCAGAAGCACTATTGCCTTCTGGACTCATGGCCAGGACCTGCTGTATAATTCCCACTGTCAGAGGACAGAAACCCAGCACTTATGCTCATCAAGGTCCCCAAAGACCAACTACTCACTGACCAAGTTTCAAGAATTGTATCCTGGGGAAAACTCCTAACTCTCAAGACACATTTTACTGTTAGGTGAACAGAAGCATCAGGTGAAGGGAGACATGCCCAAGTGTTTCTGTCCCCTCCCCACTTCCCCCTCTCCCTCACTGTTTATCATGAGCATGCATGTAGGCATCTGTGAATACATACATACATTAAAAACCTATTCAAATTTTACATGTACAGTATGTCAAGTGAATAATACAATTGAAGCTCACCTTGGTCAATGCTATTGTCTTCCTGAATACTTGAACCAATATCCTCCCATGATGATAATACCACCATTGAACTTAAATCAAAACCCAGGGTTTTGGTCTGCTGTTGTACTGCAGGCTTGGCTGGAATTAATAAATGAATATTGATTAATACATTCAGTTATTAAATATTCCTATTACATTTTCACAGTTATTATGATACCAGTACAGCAACACTATACAATATAACACCTGCATATCTTGAGGTAATGTCCCCTATATGTAGTCCTAACTAGTACAGTTAAAAGTTTCACAGGTGCACACATTACCACCAGCAAAGAAAACAAAACTAGAATAGTATTCAATTTGTTGAGAACCTCATATCATACAGAGGATAAAAATATTAACTATAAAAATCCATGCCCTTGGAGTAGGAGTGCCTTGGGATTTCTCAAAGAATTGGGTTCCAGGCTCGTTGACATCACCAGAAACCCAAGGGCTGCCACTTTTTTGTTTTAGTGCCATAGTGAGGCAATCCAGAGGGAAAATGCCTGCTGCGTCCTTGGTTCCTGTCCGGAAGCGGAGGAGCTCCAAGAGATCCCTAACTTTTAAACTCACATTGTATTAACCAATGTACATATTTTAATTTTTAAATATCTAATACAGCACAACAAAACACAAAAGGAAGGGGGATTGTAAGATAAAAGAATATAAACTGTATTGGAAGGGATATAAAACTCCTCTTAAATGCACTGTGTGTGCTTTTCTCCAGGGTTAAGGGTTCCCCTCTTCCAGCGAGAGGTGGTACTCCCTTCTAATATACAATAAAAAAAAATTCTGGAATATATTATACATACAACACTACATTTTGAGTGCCATGATCACCCAATATAAAATAAAAAAATATGGTATGTAAAATCAAAACGAGACTAACTATATTATTGTTCTACAAAACTAAATTATGTAAAGCACTAATGATACATCAATGTGCAATTAGTCTATAAACTACAATTTGAAACCCAGCCATCTACATATTTGAACAAGACTTTTAAAACAAAATGCAAATTTCTATAATATTCTCTGCATGGAATTCTCTTGGCCTGTACAAAAGAAAGCTAAGCAAATGCAAAGCAAAATAGAATTATCATACTTTTCGGAGGAGCTGGCTTCTTAAATTTGCTGCTTGTGTTGGCAACATTGGCACCCATACTGGCCAGAATGGCAGCCAGGCCACGGCCAGCACGTACCTCCCTATTGCCTGTAAATACAGTACAGCATTTAAATAACAAAATGAACTGTCGAGATCTGTATTTTAATTAAATGTATACATTTAACTTATGTCTTAATTACACAGTATAAAGATAAAAGAGAAAGGAATCTCTAGGCAGGTAGCAGTCCGTTTGACTGGCAGGTTGAGCGATGGTCTTCTTGCAGCACTGGCACTCGATACCCAATGATCTGAGTGGTTAGGTACCATTCCTTAACTGTCCTCTTATCCCTGCTAACAACCTGTCCTCGTATTCTTTCCAACGTGCTATACCATATAGTCATACTGGCTTAGCACTTTCTTCTCATACTTAACTTACCCCACTCCAACCAGACTTTAAATTAATTCACATTGTCAGGGACAGGAGACTGGCACTCAGACTTACCTAGGTCCCCTCTTATGTTAACCACTAATCTTTCCCAAGATGCAACCCACAACAGTTGCCTAGGTCTCAGGTACCAATTTTACTACTAGGTGAGGGTGAAAGGTGAGTCAGGTGAAATGAAACATGCCCAAACATCTCTGTCCTGACTGGGGACTGAAACCAAGTCTCTCAAATGAGGGCTAAGGATATACAGACCACTGTGCTATAGGATAATACATGAGGCTACAACAAGGACAAGAGATACAGTGCTGTAATGAGTACAGACGATACAATGAGCATAGAGTACAAGCATAGGGCACCATAATGAAACAGTAGGCTATAAGAAAAATAACACGAGTACAAGATGAGATAATGAGCATAATGGATAATGCTGTAATTAGAATAAAAAGCAGAATGACCTAAGCCAACAAAAGACAAGTTTCTTCAAATTAATTTAAGATGTTACCGAAGAATACCAACACGTTATACCACAGTGATATCAATCTTTATGCTCGATGGATCACAAACAACAGGCCATCGAACACGGGGAAAGCCAATACCACTTGTTGGGGCTGCTCGTCTAGTACTGTATACAAGGTTCAAATTGTTCCGACTATTGGGGCGGGCCGCTCACTATACCATAGTAAGTAAACCCGCTCATCGGGATGGGCTGCTTGGTGTATCAGGATAAATTGCCTCGCTTGTCGGGTTGACATATCCTGGTATATCAAATCAACCAAGCAGGGCAGTATTATACCCGCTGGGGCAACTTATCCTATTAAAGTCTAAAGTTACAGTCTCCGTGGTGTAGTGGTAAGACACTCGCCTGGCGTTCCGCGAAAGCTATGTCATGCGTTCGTATCCTGGCCGGGGAGGATTTACTGGGCGCAATTCCTTAACTGTAGCCTCTGTTTAATGCAACAGTAAAATGTGTACTTGGACGAAAAAACGATTCTTCGCAGCAGGGGATCGTATTCCAGGGACCTGCCCGAAACGCTACGCGTACTAGTGGCTGTACAAGAATGTAACAACTCTTGTATATATAAAAAAAAAAAAAAACTGAGATGCCTGTTCCAACAAGCAGAGAAACCTATCCTGTAAACTGAGCAGCCCATCGGGACGACTTACAATAATTATCCTTTTACACCAGGCAGCCCATCGGGAGACTGGCGGCTCCTGTGGCATGAGCCTCCACCTTCCTCACCCAGCTGTGTTATTGTTTACACTCGACAACAACAATGTTGTGACCCTCCCCAGGGCTCAACAGTGGTCATGTCCAGTTCTCCCTGTTTCTCTCTCTCTCTCACCCTCTTCCTTCCCAGTGCCGCCTATGTCACCACAGACCAGTGAAGTGTTTGTAAGTGGCTCTCCAGTTGAGATATCCCGGGAAATAAGTGACTTACACTCGTCAGTGTCGGGGTCAGCCATGTTGTGTCGTCCGTGGACCAGGGGACTGGTCAAGTCGTATACTGCAATTTCGGATACCGGGCTAGAAACAACTTCGTTCACTGAGAAGTTTGTACATATAAACCATTCCGTTCGTATATGCGCTGGTTTGTGTTCGCTGTTGTTCTCGTCTGAATAAATACATGGCACTTGTTCATATAATTAGCGCTTCCATTATTAGAATTATTTATCCATTATTAGAATAACAAGGTGCAAACCATACCCCCTTACAGTTGAAATCTATTTATTTATATACAAGAAGGTACATTGGGTTGCGAGAGTACTAACATATATTAAGCGGAACATTGTAGCAAGATTTGAGATTAAAGGATTTAAGACTAACACGTATTAGGCTCCCCCGAAGGAGGCTATTATTTGTTATGCACCCCATACTCAACCAGTAAGTAGTGGAGCAAAACATAGATTACATGGTTATAAAGTCTTAATCAGACCAATTCAATTCAATTTCTTTCTTTATTATGCACCCCATACCCATCCCGTGGGCGGTGGTGTAAAGGATTACAGAGGCACATAATCGGTGAACCCTCTAGTTCGTTTAGTTAAGCAAATAACAATTTGTGACGCTAGTTACAAAATTATAAATATTATATATACATGTACACACTCTCATACATACATGTACATATATATATACGCATACATATATACATACACATACATATCTAATCACCTACACAAATACACACATCAATAATCTTTGTGTCACAAGTGATCAACAAGAGGCTCACAACAATCACTATACAAGGCACTTTACATCTATGGTGAGTCACAAAGTTACTAGTCTTGCTGCACACCCACCCAACTGGGCGGCAGCTTTACAGTCATGTGCATGCATTACCTACAGTAAGCAAATTTTGGATACTTCGCTAAGATTTCGGGCAGCACATCATTATGAATGAAGTACTTACACATTTCTTGGACACTATTGATGGTGTTATCTCTAAATTCCGCGATTTTTTCACATTCCATTATATAATGACGCAAAGTAAGCGAATAGTTCTGCTGACAGAGTTTACATTTAGTCAAATCTACATCAGCAAATGTTACAAACTCCCAGAGGTACTTGTAGCCGAGCCTAAGCCTAGCAGTGGTAACATCTAGAAGTCTGCTAACATTATTGGATGACCCATAGACGTGCGGTTCTTCCTGCATAATAGAATGATGATAGATGGAGTAACTGGTGTGAATTTCACTTTGCCTCAAGTCTCCGAAATTTAGTTGATGTTCCTGGGATATTGCTGCCCTCAGGCTGCTCAAAGGCAGTCCAAGTTTGTAATCCATTCCCTCTTTACGAGCAAAAGTCTTGGGCAACTCATCAGTTCTCAGTGGCTATTTTTACATTATCATTTACAACTAACTTAAGTTAAATAGCAACCAGTAAACAGACTGCTGTTTTCTAATTCTAGTTCAGGCACTTCCTGGGATAAAATGCGAACATTCCTTGAGGAACTGTGAGGTGCTTATCTGTTTTTCCTCGTAACGGTCCCAAAGCTTCCACAAATGTTCCTGTTTCTCTTTATTGCCCTTGCGGCGACTGGACTTTAGCTTTTGATCAGAAACCAGTTGGTATTGCAAGGTTACCAGGGACGCCTCACGGTACAGTAACGGGATTAAAATATATAAAGCCAAGTTGTCCCTCTCTGCCCTTTGATTCAGACGCTGGTGCCATCCTTCTACGTCATTGTTGGTCCTCACCAGTCGTCTAAATGCACACCAGTTCCCCAATTCCCACACACTGTTGCACAGCCACGTATTTTTTATGTAATGAGTTAATTGTGTCGTTAAGGGTGGACTGCTAGCCGACTTTTCTAATTCAGCAAACGCCTTACAATTATGTAGTACACACGTACCACATAAGTACGTGTGTGTTACACACGTACACACACACACACACACACACACACCTTGTCAAGCACAAGACGAAGCTTGAAAAAGATTAATGGTGTGCCAATAGGCTAGTCCCAGGACTAAGAGGCATGAGTTACGAGGACAGGCTGCTAGAAATGCACCTCATGACACTGGAAGACAGAAGAGTAAGGGGAGACATGATCACTACCAACAAAATTCTCAGAGCAATTGATAGGGTACATAAAGATAAGCTGTTTAACACGGGTGGTAGGCGAACAAGGGGACACAGGTGGAAACTTAGTACCCAAATGAGCCACTGGGATGTTAGAAGGAACTTTTTCAGTGTCAGAGTAGTTAATAGATGGAATACATTAGGCAGTGATGTGGTGGAGGCTGACTCCATACACAGTTTCAAATACAGATATGATAGAGCCCAGTAGGCTCAGGAATCTGTACATAAGTTGATTGCCAGTTGAGAGGTGGGACCAAAGAGCCAGAGCTCAACCCCCGCAACAACAACTAGGTGAGTATACACACAAAAACACACACACGCACACACACACGTACACACACACACGTACACACACACAGACACAAACATACACACACTAATGCCTTTATTCACCTTGCAGTAAATTGGAACCTGAAAGTCAGGAAGCTGCTAAAGGCTGCATCTTGGGGATGTGTGTGTGTGTTAGATAAAAATATATGTTGTTTAGATATGATGGAGGAAAAGAGGCCGAGAGTCGGTACATTAGACAACCGACGCTTAGAAAGGCGGGGTCCAAGAGCTAACAGCTAAATCTTGGAAATAATAAATTAAAATATTTAATACACACACATACATGTTTCACATGAATTTGGCTGTGGGCACACTGAGGACTGATGGCCCCGTCGACGGGGCAGGAAGTCGGCGGTTGATCAAAGGCCTCCCCCATCCTTCACATACCTGAGGATTATTCCGGCTTAATTTTAAACGGAAGTAATGTCTTGGTATTTACGGCTTCAGCGGGTGGGTGGGTCCGTGGGTTTATTACACTATGAGTGAAAACAATCGCCTATTCTCTATTTTATATTGCCGCTTGTAGAGCTCGAAGCTGTTGCCTCTTGTGTGCGTTGCACAAAGAGATTAATATCTGGATTAATATCTTTCAATATTTCCAGTATTTTTTAAGGTATCGCTTAAATACCGAAGATACTGTTATTGGACATCGCTTACTTGACAATGTCTCAACAACGCAGGCTGAAGGTGTGCGTGGCTCCTGCTATTGCAATGATGCTCATTTGCTTTTCAATGATGCGCCTTAGTTGCCCCCTCTCTAACTTACCGTTCTAAATACCCCTTCTCCATCTTCCGCAAACATTCCCCCCCTCATACATCTACCCCCTTTCCTCCTGTCCCCCTGTCCATCTTTGTCCCCCTGTCCCTCACTTTGTCCCCTTGCCCACATTTTCTGTCCTCTGTCCCCGATACCTTTCCCCCTGTCCCCCTCTCTGTCCCCTTGTCCCCCCTTTCCATCTCTCTGTCCCCCTGTCCCTCTCTATCCCATTGTCCCTCTCTCTGTCCCCCTGTTCCTCCTGTTCCTCTCTCTGTCCCCCTGTCACTCTCTGTCCCCCTGTTCCTCTATGTCCCCCTGTCACTCTCTGTCCCCCCTGTTCCTCTATGTCCCTTTGTCCATCTCTGTCCCCCTGTCCTTCTCTCTGTCCCCTGTACCTCTCTGTCCCCCTGCCCACTCTTTCTGTCCGCTGTCCTTCATCTGTTCCCCTCCCTTTCCTCCAGTCCCCCTATCCATCTCTGTCCCCTTGTCCTTGTCTCTGTTCCCCTGTCCCTATCTCTGCCCCCTGTCCCTCTCTCTGTCCCCCTGTCCGCCCTTTCTGTCCCTCTGTCCCTGTCCTTCTGTCTGTCCCTCCCTCTGTCCCCCTGCCCACTCTTTCTATCCCCTGTCTCTCCTCTGTCCCCTCTCTCTTGGTCTCCTGCCCCCCTCTCCTCCCTCTGTCCCCCGGTCCCCCCTCTCTGACCCTGTCCCTCTGTCTCTGTCCCTGTCCCCCTCTCTGTCCCTGTCCCACTGCCCCCCCTCTGTTCCCCGTCCCTCCTCTGGCCCTGTCCTTCTGTCCCTCTGCTCCTGTCCCTGTCCCTCTGTCTCTGCCTCTCCTCGTTTCTGCCATTCTCTGTGTCAGCCTATCTCTCTGTCTCTTTCCTCGCTCTATCTCTGTCATTCTCTCACTGACTTTGCATATCCTTATCTATCCGTCTCTGTGTCTAACATTCTCTCCCTGACTCTGTCTATATCTATTTCTCTGTCTCGGTCTTCATCTCTTTCTCTTTCTCTCCTCTCTCTCTCTCTCTCTCTCTCTCCTTACATACATAAATACATACATACATACATACATTTATTTAACACATGTGGTATACGCACAAGGGGACACAGGTGGAAGCTGAGTACCCAAATGAGCCACAGAGAGATTATAGAAAGAACTTTTCAGTGTCAGAGTAGTTAATAAATGGAATGCATTAGGCAGTAATGTGGTGGAGGCTGACTCCATACACAGGTTCAAATGTAGATATGACAGAGCCCAGTAGGCTCAGGAATCTGTACATCAGTTGATTGACGGTTGAGAGGCGGGACCAAAGAGCCAAAGTTCAACCCCCGCAACCACAACTAGGTTAGTACATACATACATAAGATATAAAAAAGTGGAGGATTCCCAGGTAGAACAATCAACCACAATGCCCATTACCCCTTTACCCTGCTGTCCTTAACTACACAACTATACAAGAGTCATTAACACGTGTAATGGCTGATCCCCCATCACGATAGCATGAAGACCAATTGCCTGACCCGCAGTCCGTCTTGCTCCTCAAATAATTTTCGGGTTAACGTGAAAACGTCTCTCGAGTTTATCTCTCTAATGTTGTTTTCCCATCTTTCATTTTATCAGCTTATAGTGCCTTTATTATGCCCCAATTACTCATCCATTGAGCGGTAGTTAAACTGAACCCAAATTTAAAAAAGTTCCTTTTGCTAAGCAAGCTACAGTCTTGATAATGTCAGATATATTGTTTGTTAACACATTTCTCAACAATGAACAGTCAGTTTTATCAAGCTAACATATCCTAACACAACGAGTGAGAGTATTAACTGGTCTAATTATTTTATTAGACCAGTATATATTATTAGATTATACTGGTATAATTATATATATATATATATATATATATATATATATATATATATATATATATATATATATATATATATATATATATATATATATATATATATATATATATATATATATGTACACACACCATGGGTATAAGGGAAGGGGGTGGTAGGAGAAAAGCACACAGAAACTGTATTGGAGGGGACCTACATTCCCTCCAATGCGTTATGTGTGGTTTCCTCCGAGGCTATGGGTCCCCCTTCTTCCAGCCAGAGGTGGTACTCCCTTCCCTATTGTAAAAAAAAAAAAAAAAAAAAAAAAAAAAAAAAAAAAAAAAATATATATATATATATATATATATATATATATATATATATATATATATATATATATATATATATATATATATATATATATATATATAGTGCCTGTTCATTACAACTATTTAACGCTGGAAGGGATCAGGATAAGGATTTGGGATGGGATGGGGAGGAATGGTGCCAAACCACTTGGACGGCGGTCGGAGATTGAACGCCTAGGACTGCTTCTGTGCATTTAAATTACTAACTTACCTGAGAGTCTATATCCCTACATGTCAATGTTTGTGTATACTGGTAATGTGAGGAACATACAGAAGATAAGGGTAGCTGAACACCACAAAATGCTGAAGGGCAACTTTATTAAAGTTGCATAATGAAATGTGTAAGTACTTCATTCCTAATGATGTGCTGCCCGAAATCTTAGCGAAGTATCCAAAATTTGCTTACTGTAGGTAATGCATGCACATGACTGTAAAACTGCCGCCCAGTTGGGTGGGTGTGGAGCACATGACTGTAAAGCTGCCGCCCAGTTGGGTGGGTGTGGAACACATGACTGTAAAGCTGCCGCCCAGTTGGGTGGGTGTGGAGCACATGACTGTAAAGCTGCCGCCCAGTTGGGTGGGTGTGGAGCACATGACTGTAAAGCTGCCGCCCAGTTGGGTGGGTGTGCAGCACATGACTGTAAAGCTGCCGCCCAGTTGGGTGGGTGTGCAGCAAGACTAGTAACTGTGTGACTCACCATAGATGTAAAATGCTTTTTATAGTGACTGTTGTGAGCCTCTTGTTGATCACCTGTGACACAAAGATTATTGATGTGTGTATTTGTGTAGGTGATTAAATATGTATGTGTATGTATATATGTATACGTATATATATATATATATATATATATATATATATATATATATATATATATATATATATATATATATATATATATATATATATATATATATTTATATATATATGTACATGTATGTATGAGTGTGTGTACATGTGTATACAACATTAATAATTTTGTAACTAGCGTCAAACATTGTTATTTGCTTAGCTAAAGGAACTAGAGGGTTCAGTTCCTGAACCGATTATGTGCCTCTGTAATCCTTTACACCACCGCCCACGGGATGGGTATGGGGTGCATAATAAAGAAAGAAATAGAAGAAATTGAAATTGCATAATACGGTTATTGACATTCAATAATAGTAAGATAAAGCAATGAGGACCAAATGGGAGACCAGTGATCAGATGAATATTACAGACTCAAGGGTAGCCTTCTCTTCTTGTATAGAAATGAAAAAATAAATTAGTTTAATTCTAATGCTTGTAGCGTTCACAACGCTAGCTGGCGTTGTGAACGCCAGCTAGCGCACAAGTACATGAGCGCCCAAAATACTTTTACACAAAAGACATGTACAGACAGGCGTGTGGCTTCTGACTTCTTTTTTATTGATTAATATTTAATATTAGGCGCTTACCTATAATAGTTATCATTTTATACATGTATAACTCTCACATAATAAATATAAAAGGAGTTTATCCAAAAACTGACAGAAGTGTTGTGTTTTGTGCGTTGTATCGTGTTTGTGGGCATTCGGGTGTGTTGTGTTTACGCTGGCGGGCGGCGTCCTTACCAACTCCGGATTATGTCTATTACATCACTAAACTTCATTTAATAACTATATGCCTGTTAAATAGAAGATTTTAATTGTTAATAGCATTATATTGTCGTTTTAATATGGAACACGTACACATATGCGAAACGTCGAAAGCTGGTGTCCGAAGTGGTAAAAATATTAGTGTGCGATGTTGTCAATGTACGGAGTGTCTTGTATCCGTGGACCAGTGTTGTTGTTGACACTTGTGGCAACACTGCTTCCCGGGACCTGGGCGGTACACCTTCACTATCTCTCACTACAACACTCATTATCTCTCTCACTACAACACTCATTATCTCCCTCACAACAATAATCATAATCACTACAATACAACACCGATAACCTCCCTTATTACCATTCATTACAAAATTCATATCTTTTTAAAAAATGTCTTTCTCGTATCTTTTTATTTATTTATTTAATTATTTACTTATTTACTTATTTATTTATTTATTTATTTATTTATTTATTTTTTTATATACAAGAAAGTACATTGGAGGTTAATGCGCGACTTATACTGAATTTTGTAACTAGCTCATATTTTTTTGTAACTAACCTCCCTATTACCATTCATTACAACACTCATAACCTCCCTCACTACCATTCCTAGATTTATCTGATTTTACCTGAGGGTCGCTAACTCCCTAGTGGCCCCCCGACAAGAACAGGAAGCCGGCGGCTTGTCAAAGGTCCCCCATTTGTCCTGATGATTTTATCGAGTTGGATCTTAAAATTTAACAGTTTTGGCATTTACAGCTTCGGCGGGTAGGCAGTTCCATGTACTCACCTTTTTGTACTCACCTATTTGTGCTTGCGGGGGTTGAGCTCTTTGGTCCCGCCTCTCAACTGTCAATCAACAGGTGTACAGGTTCCTGAGCCTACTGGGCTCTATCATATCTACATTTGAAACTGTGTATGGAGTCAGCCTCCACCACATCACTGCCTAATGCATTCCATTTGTCAACCACTCTGACACTAAAAAAGTTCTTTCTAATATCTGTGGCTCATTTGGGCACTCAGTTTCCACCTGTGTCCCCTAGTATGTGTGCCCCTTGTGTTAAATAGCCTGTCTTTATCTACCCTATCAATTCCCTTGAGAATCTTGAATGTGGTGATCATGTCCCCCCTAACTCTTCTGTCTTCCAACGAAGTGAGGTTTAATTCCCGTAGTCTCTCCTCGTAGCTCATACCTCTCAGCTCGGGTACTAGTCTGGTGGCAAACCTTTGAACCTTTTCCAGTTTAGTCTTATGCTTGACTTGATATGGACTCCATGCTGGAGCTGCATACTCCAGGATTGGTCTGACATAGGTGGTATACAAAGTTCTGAATGATTCCTTACACAAGTTTCTAAATGCCGTTCTTATGTTGGCCAGCCTGGCATATGCCGCTGATGTTATACTCTCGATGTGGGCTTCAGAAGCACAGGTCTGGCGTGATATCAACCTCCAAGTCTTTCTCTCTCTCTCTGATTCTTGAAGAATTTCATCTCCCAAATGATACCTTGTATCTGGCCTCCTGCTCCCTACACCTATCTTCATTACATTACACTTGCTTGGGTTAAACTCTAACAACCATTTGTTTGACCATTCCTTCAGCTTGTCTAGGTCTTCTTGAAGCCTTAAGCAGTCCTCCTCTGTCTTAATCCTTCTCATAATTTTGGTGTCATCAGCAAACATTGAGAGGAATAAGTCTATACCCTCTGGGAGATCATTTACCTATATCACAAACAGAATAGGACCGAGTACAGAGCCCTGTGGGACTTCACTGGTGACTTCACGCCAATCTGAGGTCTCACCCCTCACTGTAACTCTCTTTTTCCTATTGCTTAGGTATTCCCTTATCCACTGGAGCACTTTACCAGTTACTCCTGCCTGTCTCTCCAGCTTATGTACCAGCCTCTTATGGGGTACTATGTCAAAGGCTTTCCGACAGTCCAAATGTGTTTATAACCCTGTGGGTAAAAAGGATGCTCCTGTTTACAATATTGCATTGTACTCGCTTTGTTGTACTCGTCTAGTTGTACTGGCACAGACTGAGCTCTGGTTTTTTGTTCCCGCCTCTTAACTGTCAATTAACAAGTGTACAAATTCCTGAGCCTACTGGTACAATGGGTTGGTGAGATCACATAAGCTTGGTATTCTTGCATTCAGGCAAAGCCTGAATGCTTCCTGGACCTGCCTGAAACACTCAGTGTTTCAGGCAGGTCCTTAATCAAACATATCAGGTAAGATGAAAGGGTACATTGTAGCAAGATTTTATAGCAACAAATAACTACAATACAAGTTGACAGAGGTGATTACACTGGTAAGGATATTTGTCTTAAGTACTAATATTGGGGACCTTACCTTACCTTACCTTGAGGTTACCTTGAGGTGCTTCCGGGGCTTTGCGTCCCTGCGAAGAACCGAGGGAAGTGGGTAGTACAAGATACAGTGTGAGTTTGAAGCACAAGGTAGGAAACTAGGAGGATGAAACTAGGTACATTTTTATTTCCCTTTTGAACAGGGCATGGGTTGGACAATTGTTTAATTCATCAGGGAGTGAGTTCCAAAGACTGGGCCCTTTATTTGCATGGAGTATTTGTACAGATTTAGTCTGACTCTGGGGATAACAAAGAGATATTTATTTCTGATGTGGTGCTCATGGGTTCTATTACATCTATCAAGGAAAAGGTTCAGATCAAGATTAGCATTTACAGATGAGCAATCTCCGTGGCGTAGTGGTAAGACGCGCGGCGAACGCTTTGTCTTGGGTTCGTATCCTGGCCGGGGAGGATTTACTGGACGCAAATTCTTAACTGTAGCTAAATGTTTAACTCAACAGTAAAATGGGTACTTGGTTGTAAAAACGATTCTTCATAGGGGTCGTATTCCAGGGTACATAGGATTAAGGACTTGCCCGAAACACTACGGGTACTAGTGGCTGTACGAGAATGTAAGGACTCTTGTATATATATAATTAATTAATTTAAGAACAAGGTTTTGTACGTGTAGATAGCACATGAGAATGTGTGTAGTGAGTGTATGTTTAGCATGTTAAGGGACTTAAATAGAGGGGCTGTGTGCTGTCTGAAGACAGAGTTTGTTATAGTTCTGATTGAATATTTTTGCCGAGTGATGATAGGCGTGAAGTAATTTGCAGTGGTTGAACCCCATGGACAACTACCGGATGTAAGATAGGGATTGACGCAGGAGGAAATGATGTTGGTTGAGTCAGGAGTGAGGAACTGATTCAGAGGTATAAAACAGCCATAGAATTAGTTAGGAGCAAGGGAGGAACCCCGATCATATGTGGCATTCTTCCAAGAAAGGGAGTTGGAAATGAATGGTTTTCGAGGGCACTTGGTGTCAATTGCCGGCTGGAAAGATATTGCAAATCAAATGCAATATCTTTCATAGATAACTGGGAACACTTCTATGGAGGAAATGAAATGTATGCTCTTGATGGGGTGCATCTATCGAGGGCTGGGGTTGTTGTTGTGAACTCGTTGGAACGAGTGGTTGCAGGCGTTTGTTTGGGTTTAAACTGTTAGTAGATAGAGGTATGGGAATTGACATGGAGGAAGGAGGTAATAAAAGTATGTATTTGTTGGAGAAAGAAACTGGCAAAATGATCAGGGAAAGAGAAGGGCATCAAAATAACAATACACTTACGGTATATTACACTAACAGTAGCAGTCTAAGAAACAAAATAAACGAATTAAATGCTCGTCTGTACAGGAAAAATAGATATTATTGCACTTACAGAAACGTAGATGAATGTAAAAAAAATAGTGTGGGGATGGCGGCTTAGCGGCACTTTTTTTCGGGAAAAAGTTCCGTTAAGACCCAGCGGATTCAACCAACTTTTGAGATAAAGGACGCTACACCCCCCCCCCACCGTTTCAATGAACTTTCAGAAAGGGGGTCGCTAAGGTCTTAATATTTTCCTATGGGGAAAATTATTTCATAGATCATAGAAGTTTGTTAAGAGTTCTCATGAGAGAAATTCAAAATTGTTCAGAGTTCAGTTTTTATGAAGATATTTCAGAGTTCATATAATCATATGAGTTTATTTAAGAGTGTAAGACCGAAATTTGTAAAAAAGACCATTTTTCAGAGAATATTGTCATAGAAGTTTGTTATAAAAATTCAGGGGCAAAGTCCGCTTTCGTATTACTGATAATAAACGGTCATAAACAGATATCAGATTGTTTTACACAAATCAACCAAGACACCTCAATATGACCTTCAACACGTAAGCCATTAAGTTGCCCAGAGGCTACCTGGTAACTGGTAAAAGACCGTAGTAGGGATCACACGCTAAACTCATTTTTTTTTTTTTAAATCGTGTTTAGCGTGTCGGTTTTCCAGTTAATTTAAAACAAAATCGTGTTTAGCGTGTCGGTTTTCCAGTTAATTTAAAACAAAATCGTGTTTAGCGGTCGGTTTTCCAGTTAATTTAAAACAAAATCGTGTTTAGCGTGTCGGGGGTTCCAGGTAAACTCTACGGACCATTTTTTTTTTTTCAAAGACCATTTTCGGATAAAGCGATCATAAAAGTTTATTAAGAGTTCTTATGAGGAAAATAATTTCATAGAAGTTTGTTAAGAGTTCTTATGTGGAAAATTCAAATTTTTTCAGAGCTCAGTTTTATGAAAATATTTCAGAGCTCATATTTTCATAGAAGTTTATTTACAAGTTTATGACTGAAATTTTGATAGAGATGTTCATAATATGAACCCTGAAATATTTTCATAAAATTGAACTCTGAAAAAATTTGAATATATACTGTATACAGTATTATACAATATATTTATTTTTCCTCACACATAAGCATGTGTCCTCTTCATCTGAAATCTTAACAAGTGAAAGGAGAACGATAAAGTATGACTGGTCTGCCTTCACTCTCAAAACTACAAACTACCAAATCAAGATCACTGTAGCATTATAAATGAAAACAATTTTTGTACACACATTTATTTAAAAGTAAAAATATACTTTTACAATGAAAGTAAGACATCATTAATATTCTTGAACATTAAACTTTGAACATTAGTGGTTTTAACAAATTAAAATGTACATTTGAAAGGCTGTAATAATAATTGACTCAAATGCTTTAATTGGATAGAGGTAAGCATCACTGATACTACAATTTTGTTTTAAAACAAATGTACTCTGTTGTAGAGCATATCAGATTCTTATGTCTAAATACTTCCACTTGTAACACCTTACTGGGGAGGGTAGTGTGGCAACACCACACTGGGGAGGGTAGTGTGGCAACACCACACTGGGGAGGGTAGTGTAGCAACACCACACTGGGGAGGGTAGTGTAGCAACACCACACTGGGGAGGGTAGTGTAACACACACTGGGGAGGGTAGTGTGGCAACACCACACTGGGGAGGGTAGTGTAGCAACACCACACTGGGGAGGGTAGTGTAGCAACACCACACTGGGGAGGGTAGTGTAGCAACACCACACTGGGGAGGGTAGTGTAGCAACACCACACTGGGGAGGGTAGTGTAGCAACACCACACTGGGGAGGGTAGTGTAGCAACACCACACTGGGGAGGGTAGTGTAGCAACACCACACTGGGGAGGGTAGTGTAGCAACACCACACTGGGGAGGGTAGTGTGGCAACACCACACTGGGGAGGGTAGTGTAGCAACACCACACTGGGGAGGGTAGTGTGGCAACACCACACTGGGGAGGGTAGTGTGGCAACACCACACTGGGGAGGGTAGTGTAGCAACACCACACTGGGGAGGGTAGTGTAGCAACACCACACTGGGGAGGGTAGTGTGGCAACACCACACTGGGGAGGGTAGTGTGGCAACACCACACTGGGGAGGGTAGTGTGGCAACACCACACTGGGGAGGGTAGTGTAGCAACACAAAACATTGGAGGGTAGTGTAGCAACACAAAACATTGGAGGGTAGTGTAGCAACACCACACTGGGGAGGGTAGTGTAGCAACACCACACTGGGGAGGGTAGTGTAGCAACACCACACTGGGGAGGGTAGTGTAGCAACACAAAACATTGGAGGGTAGTGTAGCAACACCACACTGGGGAGGGTAGTGTAGCAACACAAAACATTGGAGGGTAGTGTAGCAACACAAAACATTGGAGGGTATGGATCAAGTTATACTCTTGATAAACAATGTCGAACTAAGAGCTAAGAAACTTGTGTGTCTTTACCAATCTATCGGTCAAAAACAACGGTTTGCTCGACATTTTCTTATGGGTATCTTAATTACATATTTTACACATCTTGGTCATAAACAACTTGGCTTCTACCATCATACTGAAATCATATCTTTCAATGGAATATTTGTTACAGTACCTGCTTGATGGGGTTCTGGGAGTTCTTCTCCTCCCCAAGCCCGGCCCAAAGCCAAGGCTATGCTATGCTACAGTGAAATAAAAAACATGACAAGAGGCATGATAGAATTTAGGCTCAAGGGCCTAAACGTTCGGTGTTGTGACCACGGCCTTACAACCTCTGGTGACGGAAGAACTTGTGTAGGATAAAATTTCATCACTAATTTAGTAACTTGAAACTGGCTTAAAATTGATAAACTCTACTGCTTTACAACAACAGATTTTATTCTAATTAGACTACCCTAGATTACAAACATTAGAGATATTTGAACCATACATCAGTAATATCTAATGGGAAATTGTAGCAACACTGACTACATTTGTTTATGAGCATTTAAAAGACCATGATAACAGTATGAAAGAAAGTACTTTAAGACACAGTGTCCTGATGTTCTAGCACTAGCTTGTGACTTGAGCCATGTTTTACCACAATAATCTGCTCATCACCACTATTTTCTCCCCTCAGAACCCTCACAATATTGACACAAAAGACATTTCCAATAAAATAAAAATTAAGGATACTGTCAGATATAACAATCAAACTTCATTTCCTTTTGCAGATAACATTGCAGACCTTTAGTACAATAGTAACAATGTGTTGGAGATGATACATAAATGCTGGCTTAAGTGTACTGGTACAATAACCAATAATTTCATAGCTGTTTAATTCTGGTCTTGTTAAAAAGTAAAAGTTCTATCTTTAACTACAAAGTGCATTGCAGGAAGAAACACACTACAGGGCTAAAAATCACTGCAAACATGTCTGCATTTCAAGAATTAGATTTCTATCACATAATTTTCAACTAAAATTATAACTAAGTTATTATGAGCAAATTAAATCTGAGTTATCCTGTTCATCATTATGAATTTTTTTTTTACACAAGACAGCCACAAAGCATTGAAAAGGTGAGATATACTTGAAGTGTAAACAGTCACTGTACTGCCCTAAAGCAGCAGGTACAACACTATAAAGATGGCTATATACAAGCCTCGTCAAGCTACTGAGTGTATCCAAATGTCGGCGATGAAGAGGTGGTAGAAGCTGCTGCTGCTGCTGCCGCTGCTGCCGGTGGTGGCGGCGGCGGTGGTGGCGGCGGTGCACTGAAGAGCGAGTGTCCACTTCCCTGTAGAGGCGTGTAAGAGCAAAACTAGATTGATGGATTAAAAAGCATTGATATATTGTACATGTATTGAAAATATGTTCCAATTAAATTGAAAGGACCTATAATTGACATCTTTTAGTTTAATCAATTGGTTACAGCAAAAAGATGTTTCATCACAACATTAAAGGTCATACATAATACTGCATAGGCAAAATCAAGCTTTTATCATTTGGATCTTAGTTACAAATATCATTACTTAATTACCCTAGGATATTTACCATAGTGTACTGTACTTTTAGTATTCAAAATATATAGCATCCCGGATAAATAAGAAAACTACACGACCACACTCATAAACAGCCGTACTCTACAGCTTCTTAAGACCACGTGTACAATCCTCTTTGTTAATTATTAAATACAGTGCACCTTTCACCTTTTACAAGGTTTCACCTTTTAAAGCACCTTTCCTTATCAAAATTATTGTGTGCTAACATTCTCTTTGTGATAAGATAATTGCAGACACTGAAACTGGAAAACCCCAGCATTGAATGTAATTAAACACCTTTCTGGTAAAGCCCTGGTGGCTCCTTGAAGCTATCCCACTAAGATGACTCCCAACTACTGGATCACATCAGTCACACAAGTCCTGTTTGGACTTATTGGTACCAGAACCAGAAACTGCTCCCCACTCACAGAAGCATAGAGCACGGGTGACAATTATCATCACCTTCAATGGAAAAGCACATGACTGATGCCAAAGTCTGACATTAGCATATCAACCTAGTAAGCTCCGGGGAGCCATAGGGACTCCCCCCCAGAAAAAGCAACCAGCAAAATTAGTGAAGACAGCAGCAGAAGCATAAGGCATCAAAAGGACAGAGGGCAAGCTGTCCCACGGAGTATCACACTCCGGCAGCCGCCCATCAAGCCCCCTCATGCTGGAAAGGGAGGTAAAGTGGGGGGTCAGCAAAGCTTTACAGACAATTGCAAGCTTCATACAAAATGAAACCTCTAAAAGGGCAAAAGATTCTGAGGAAAAATTTGGCTCATCAAAACTAGCTCATTTAATATTTCACACATTCTTTTCATTCTCTGTGCAATTTGTTCTCCATTTTCAATTTCTGAATTTCATTCTTATAGAAAAGGCTTGGGTCCGTTTTATAGTTGTCCGCTATCTCCTTTCTCAATGTTTCTTTTCTCTCTCTTCTCACTGCTGTGTAGTTGTTTCTTGCTTGTTTGTATGGCTGGTGTGTTTTTTAAGGGTTAAGCCTCTTCCTATACTGATTACATTTTTTGACTTTTGTTCTCTAGGCCTCTCACAATTTCTGTTGAATCCAATCCTGTTTTCTAGTTCTACATCTCTGGCTTGGTATAATTTTCTTGTACCTTCATCACATCTCTCAAAATCTGGTACACATCTCATTTATTTCCTTCTCTAATAACACAACTTCCCAATCAACTTCATTAAAAACTTTGCTATGTTCTCTATAGTCTCCTCTCTTGAAATCAAGTTTTCCACCATTTCTCTTTCTCCAATCTTTTCTAGGTTATAAGGCCTTGTTTATTAGATTTCCAAAACCCCACGGTCACTCTTGCCCAATGGAGGAAGGTACTGAACATTAAACATCTCTTCTGCTTCTCTGGCAAATACCAAACTCAGCAATGATGTAACATCTCTCTCTCTCTCTCTCTCGTTCTCATGGCCTGTTTATCATGCTGATACATGAAAGACTCTAGGATGAGGTTTAACAAGTTGGTGGGTCCAGTTGTCTTCTGTCCCTACTTCATAGGCTTCCAAGTCTATTCATTTCAAATTGAAGTCACAAAACATCAACAAGCACAGTTTATTTTGGTCTGCTTTTACTATAATCTTTCTCTTGATTATTACAGGTCCTCTTTTCTAGTCATATAGTTTTTCTTTAGTCCAAGTGTTACTTACTAGTGGAGTGAAGACAGTTATGGTTATCAGTTATCATTCTAACGGCAGATCTCTAATGTCACTGTCAACGTCTTGTGGCCTCTCATGTGTTCTTTTGCATTTAGTCGTTCCTTCACCAGGTTTGCAAATACTCCACCGTTTTTAAATTGTCTGACATCTCCAAATGATATCTCTCAGTTTTCTCATAAATATATCATGTTATTGTTTTTCAAGGTGTTTCTGTAAGCTGATAGCTGTCTTGTGGTTGCTTGGTATACACAGTTGGTGTTTACGGCCTAGTAACCTGGTGACATTAAGAAACGCCTGAGATGACGTGAGCAATGATGGAAGACGAGATTCTCCTGTTCTGCAAACAAGCAACCCGCCTCTACGACCTTCTGACACCACTCCTGCTAAGAGACACCGTTGGTACATCCAGTCCTGCTCTGCTGTGGTCATCTGCGACAAGTTTAACATCAAGACTACCGTGTGAACTGTGATTGATACGAAGGCGTGTGGACTGTCGAGAGCAAGATTAATGGCCGAAGTAACAGTATTCTACAGCTGTCACTTGGCACTCCGCTCTACTACACTCTGTCGTCATTCAGGAGTACCGGATGGGAGTACAAGAGGACCAGGTATTGATGTCTACACATGGGGAGAAGCAAGATCGACACCGTCATCGTCAGCGACTACATTCAGCATCCAGCAGCATCGATTTTTTTTCTCGTTTACTCAATATGAACAATTGATACAAACAACAAAGTGGCTCTGAACATCTGTGTAAAGAACATCTGGACACTTTTGTTTAAATGTTGAAAAACAGAGTTAGAATCAATTCTTTATAAATGTTGAAAAACAGATTTAAAATAATTCTGGTATAATATATGAAAATTTAACTATAAATTGGTCAGTAATCAAAATCGAAGCCCCTGTGTAATTGTCTCAGCCCAGAACAAACGGTTATGGAAAATTATGTTGTGCTATTTTTTTTCAGAATGTTTGAACACAGGAGAGGCGGACCAATATAAACATTGACACTTCTAGTGAGTGAGAACACTTGGCTGTACAGTCAGCCGTAACCTGTGATATAGTATAGGAATTTTTATTTTTAGATACATGTAATAAACGTTAGGTGTGTTCCTTGATGGGGAGTGGTTAGTACACGGATGTGAACTTGATAGTTCCGTAGTACGCTCCCGGATGACTGAAAGTTCAGTCTGATGATATAACTTTAATGTTTATGTTTGAGCACGGTGTGGCCGGCTCTAGAGGACACATGGACTTGGCTAGTGAAGAGCCAAGAGAGTTTAATAACTAGTTTTTGATGGTAGAGTAGGGACATGTTATTTAGCTATGTCAGTAAGGGTAGGATGTATGTTTCCTGATATTGGAGGATTGCTGTCAGTTGACAGCTGAGAAATTTATGAAATATGAACATGTTCATTATGATGTTGGACTATTATTTGTCAAATTTATTAGTTAGGTTAGCTTTTGTTTGTGGCATGAGTTGAATTGTGGGTTTGGATACTAAACCTCGTGAATTTTAACAAATTAACAAGGTTTACTAAGTGCTTGTGCGGGGGGGTTGTAACAAACTAGGCTGTTGTAAGAATTATCCAGAGGGGTTTATCGACAAAAGAGAATGGGAAGCTGAGCCGCATGGTGACCTGACCCCCAGGGGAATTCGCGGTGGAAATAACCGACGCTTTGTTCATATCTGCGTATAATGAATCATCCTATAGTATTCAGTAATTTAGAGAAAATTAGCCTTTATTCATTTTTATTAAAATTGTATTGTATAATAGTACTGGATACAATATCAAGAGTATTCTAATTATTGAGTTTAAGTCACCATCAGTGACGTCACGAATCAGATCTAACTTTTAAGGCGGAGTGACCGGCGGTCATAGGTCAGCAGGGTTGACATGTCTAATATTTCTCAAAGTTTTAATAACCATTTTTGTGATCGGGAACAGCTCTGCCGTTAGATGTTTGTAATTTAATTCAGTAAAATAATTCAACCAGTCTGGATCAATTCAGTACAAACAGAGTTTAATTGTTATAACTTAACATTGCTAAAGTAACTGGGTAAGCGATGCGGAAGGATACAATACTCTGTCTGGGGTAGTCCAGACAAGGAAAAAATCAGTGTGGAAACGGGAGCAGCTGGGATAAGAGGTCAAACATCTTACCTCTCCCCAAGACCAGCCAAAACATCTAGCTGGTCGCCCAAGGTATAGTTGCTATTGTTAATTATAGAAATAGTCTTCTCATTTGCCACTCAGGTCAAGTAGGGAGTGTTAAAGTGATAGGGAGTGAACACATGTAGATTTTGTTTTAGTTTTCTTTAAATAAATTAAATTTGTTATTAATTTGCATTTTATTGTTTCCATGTGTTTTATGTGTATACTATTGGGCGCCGATTCTAACATCGAATCGGAATTATCATTACCGTGTAATTTATTCCACACTCAAGGTCATCGTTTATAGTGGGGATCAAGCCCCTAGGTTGATTAATTAGCGTGATCGATCCAGACCTCGATCATTGCTCTTGTATTACTGGTCTGGTGGTGGCAGCAGAGGTGACTCTAGGGTTTTGTTCAGAGCTTAGGTCACGTCATACTGGGTGTAGAATCCTAAGTCGGTCAATCGTCTTAGGACCACGTGGCGTGGAGTTGGCTTTGTTAAAAGTTTTGGAGTCCCTTGGTTTAGAAATAAAAGTAAGAATACGGGTAGAGGGAGTAGAAAGAAGGAAGTAAAGAGAGAGAAACCCTAACCCGTGTTACAAGAACCTGCCTGCCCACAAACCTATTCCTTCCACTCATCATCAGCTCCCCCCCCCCCCCACCAGCTAGCCATCCATTCATTCCTCCCACCATCCATCCAACCTGCCTGGTAGCCAGCCATCCATTCATGCAACCATAGTCTGCTCATTGTCCTGATTACTGAAAAAGTTTCAAACATTTAAACAATCTTTGGTTTAGTGGTGTCTCAAATATAAAAAGCAGGATATAGCCCATATAGGTTGCTAAATTGACAGACTATGTAGAGCAAAACTATGCCATCATTTTGACGCCAAAAATATACTTCAATTATTTCCAGCCAAAAAAAAAAAAAAAAACTAATTATTAAAACTCAAGCCCTGCAAGTGAGCGACAGTTACTCGAGCTCAGTGACAACTCCCTGAAGCCAACAACAAATGAGCAAGGACAGTCCCGTCAAATTGACGGAGAAAAGAAGAAGAGATCAGTGGAGTCTGGAAATACAAATGGAAAATCATCGGCTCCGAAATCATCTTGAGATGATTTCGGGGCTTGGTGTCCCCACGGCCCAGCCCTCGACCAGGCCTCCTTTTTGTTACACCCCTCCCCCAGGAAACAGCCTGTAGCAGCTGTAACTCCCAGGTACCTATTTACTGCTAGGTGAACAGGGGCATCAGGGCGAAAGAAACTCGGCTCATTACTTCCAACTCAACTGGGGATTGAACTCAGAACTTCAGGATTACGAATCCAAAGCGCTGTCCACTCGGCTGGCAGACCCCCTGCCAGCTGTCAAAGTCAAAGTAATAAACAAACAAGGTGCCAAACTGGGAAGACTGTGTAGCATAGGCTCAAAAAAACCATTATGCAGTACTGTACTATGTAAGGATGGCTAACAAGTAAAATGCACTAAAAGTAAGAAAATGCACTAAAATGCACTAGAAGATGATGTAAAAACACCATAAATAACTTCAAGAACAAATGCAACACAGAAAATGACTGTCAAAATATTTATAAGTTCAAGAGTGCAGAATGCCTTAGAGGCAGTGTACAAGAGTTAGACCTTATTTCTTGTAGCTACTGATAGGTAAGCATTTACACCCAATTACTTCTACCACACTAGCATTTAATTAACAGGTAAAACACAAAATAAGTGGGGGTCAGTTACCTACAACTTTTAAATTATTCCATGCACTGTTTAATAAAGGAAAACTATACGGGTCAAGATAAAAATATTTACAAATGGTAAAATAAGAGACTGGAACTCACCGGTGGGAAACCATAGAAACCAGCTGCGGGATTGAAGCTGTGTAATGCGGGATTATAAGCTGATCCAGCAGCGCCGTAACCCTGCACTGCATTGTAATTCTGAGCTGGGGATCCATAACCTTGTGCAGCAGAAGTATAGCTCTGTGCTGCAGCATTATAATTGGTTGCAGAGTTAAAGCCCTGTGCAGCAGGATTGAAGCTCTGTGCTGTAGAGTTGAAACCCTGCACTGCTGGAGTGAATGCCTGGGCTGCAGGGCTGTAACTTTGACCTGCAGGGTTGTAACTCTGTGCTGCAGAGTTATAACTCTGTGCTGCAGGGTTATAATTCTGTGCTGTAGAGCTGAAATTTTGTTGTGTAGCATTATAAGTTTGTGATGTCGCTTTGAAACTTTGCGATGCAGGTTTGTAGTTTGGTGGTGGAGAATTGAAACTCTGTCCTACGGAGTCAAAACTCTGTGCTGGCTTTTGATCATTCTGCACATTATTGTCTACTATGTTAGTCTGGGCTGGTTCAGGTTCAGTCTGTTCTTGAACCTTACTAGCAGCATTGGCTCTTTCTATCTGTGCTGCTTTCTCCAGTTCCAATACAATGTTGAATTTAATCTGAGCTTCTGAAATCAGCTGTGGGCAAATGAAAAAAAAAACAGAATATAAATACATATATAGATAAGAAAAACAATATTTTTCTGTCTTACTAACATTATAACCAATAAAAATGTTGTTAAGGATGACAAAAATGGCTATATACAAATAATTAGTACACTGTAGAATGCATTACATGATGAAAGATATCAAAATCCAGAGTAAGAGTTCATAACTTACATGCACGGTGTTAGTATTATCCTTTTTCTCGTGGAACTCTTTCAGAGTCTTCAAGAGAAGAGTAACGGCCTCTGTTGCAACCTTCGCATCATCCTCATCTTTCACTGCATTCTCAGCCTGTTATAAAGATATTCATTTAATACAAAACGATTTGGAGCTATAAAATCTATATTGAAGAAAGTGCACAAAAGCAATATCAAAATCTAACTTTGAGTGTGAAGGAAAAGCATGCTTGTGAAGAGCACAGTCACTTCTTCTCTAAAGCAAACCCCACCCCCCTCATCTCTAGCAAGGATCCACCTCAAGTCTCAAGATGATGACATTCGAAACATTTATACATATATATATAAATAAATATAAGTGTAATTACCTAACTGTAGTTACAGGATGAGAGCTACGCTCGTGGTGTCCCGTCTTCCCAGCACTCTGTCATATAACGCTTTGAAATTATTGATGGTTTTGGCCTCCACCACCTTCTCACTTAACTTGTTCCAACCGTCTACCACTCTGTTTACAATAGTGAATTTTCTTATATTTCTCCGGCAGCTTTGTTCTGTTAGTTTAAATCTATGACCTCTTGTTCTTGAAGTTCCGGGTCTCAGGAATTCTTCCCTATCAATTTTATCTATTCCTGTTACTATTTTGAATGAAGTGATCATATCCTTCTTTTTCTTCTATCTTCTAGTTTATGCATATTTAATGCCTCTAACTTCTCCTCGTAGCTCTTGTCCTTCAGTTCTGGGAGCCTTTTAGTGGCATGCCATTGCACCTTTTCCAGTTTGTTGATGTGCTGCTCAAGATATGGGCACCATACAACCGCTGCATATTACAGCTTTGATCTAACAAAAGTCGTGAACAATTTCTTCAATATTTCTCCATCCATGTATTTAAAAGCAATTCTGAAGTTAGAAAGTGTAGCATAGGCTCCTCGCACAATGTTCTTAATGTGGTCCTCAGGTGATAGTTTTCTATCTAGAACACCCCTAGATCCCTTTCTTTGTCAGAATTCTTTAAAGATTTCTCACATAATTTATAGGTTGTGTGGGGTCTATGTTCTCCAATTCCACATTCCATAACATAGCATTTATTCACATTAAATTCCATTTGCAAAGTGTTGCTCCATATACTTATTTTGTCCAGGTCTTCTTGAAGGGCATGACAATCATCTAGGTTTCTTATCCTTCCTATTATCTTAGCATCATCAGCAAACATGTTCATGTAATTCTGTAATCCCACTGGTAGATCATTTATGTAGACAATGAACATTACCGGTGCAAGAACTGAACCCTGTGGTACTCCACTCGTGACATTCCTCCAATCCGATACCTTGCCTCTGATTACGGCCCTCATTTTTCTGTCAGTTAGGAAATTTTTCATCCATGTTAGTAGCTTACCTGTCACCCCTCCAATATGTTCCAGTTTCCAGAACAACCTCTTATGGGGAACTCTGTCAAAAGCCTTTTTTAGGTCCAGATAGAGCAGTCAACCCAACCATCTCTTTCCTGTAAAATCTCTGTGGCTGGATCATAAAAACTGAGTAAGTTCGTTACACAGGATCTTCCAGATCGAAAACCATACTGTCTGTCCGATATTATATCATTTTCCTCCAGGTGTTCTACCCGTCGAGTTTTAATTATTTTTTCCAATATTTTGACTGTTACACTTGTCAATGATACAGGTCTATAATTAAGGGGGTCTTCCCTGCTTCCACTTTTGTAGATTGGAACTATGTTAGCCTTTTTCCACATATCAGCTACAACTCCTGTACACAGGGATGCATGAAAAATCAGTTGAAGTGGAATGCTGAGCTCAGGTGCACATTCTCTCAGTACCCATGGTGAAACTCCATCTGGACCAACTGCTTTGTTCTTACTTAGCTCCTTGAGCATTTTTTCCACTTCGTTTCTAGACACCTCTATGTGCTCTATGTTGTTCTCTGGAATTCTTATTATGTCTGGTTCCCTGAAGATTTCATTTTGTACAAACACACTTTGGAACTTTTCGTTTAGTGTTTCACACATTTCCTTTTCATTTTCCACGAATCTATTTCCCATTTTCAACCTCTGAATATTATCCTTTACCTGCAATTTGTTGTTTATGAATTTATGGAATAGACCTGGTTCTGTTTTACATTTGTCTGCAATCCCCTTTTCAACAAATTTTTCTTCCTCTCTCCTCACTGCCGTGTAATTGTTTCTTGCATCTTTGTATCGCTGGTATGTTTAGGGGTTTGGCCTCTTCCTGTATTGATTCCATTTTTGTGTCTTTTGGTCTCTGGCCCTCTCACAATTTCTGTTGAACCAATCCTGTTTCCTAGTTCTGCATCTCTGTTTTGGTATAAATTTTTTTGTGCCTTTATCATATATTTCACAAAACTTGACATACATCTCATTCACTTTCTTGCTTAGCATCAAGTCTGTCCAATTATACTCACTAAAAAAATTTCTAAGGTCACCATAATGTCCTCTCCTGAAGTCTGGTTTTTCAACTGCTTCAACCTCCTTATTTTCTTCCAGCTTATAACGCATTGCATACTTTATTCCCAAAAAGACATGGTCACTTTTACCCAAGAGAGAAAGGTACTGAATGTCAAATATCTCTTCCTCCTTCCTGGTAAATATCAAATCTAGCATGGAGGGAACGTCCCCTTCCCTCATCCTCGTAGCTTGTTTAACACTTTCGCTCGGGGATGACGCAGCATTGCGTCATCAGTTTACTGGCGGTAATGCCGGGGATGACGCAGCATTGCGTCATCCACTTTAAAAATTCGCCAAAAATCAGGTTTTTATCCGATTTTTTGGGGACTGGTTTTAAAATGCGCGCCGATGTTTTCCCATTTTCTTTGTTGCGCCTAGTGGCCCGCAGGCGTCGCGGCACACGCCATCGGCTCATTGTTTTCGCTCCACTGTTGTGACCGGTGTCGTCTCCCCTCGCGTCTCAAACGTGTGAAGATTTCGGCTATTTTCCGTGGCTATATTTCTTACTGCGGCTTCAGAAACTATCTACGCTTACTTCACGATGGATAGTGATCATGAACAAGGCCCTTCCAGGAAGAAAATTACGAAAGAAAGGCGTGAAAAGCAGAAGCTGAGTAGTGTACAGGAGAAGTACAAGCATGTGAGACTAACTCCCACCATCCACTCCACCTATACAAAACATGGGTTGACCGTGCAGGAAACGTTTTCCAGGAGCAGGTGGAGTGGATAAAACAAATGTTCAACCCATGTCATGTTCAACACACAACACTGAGGTGGTAAGTGCAAATTTTTTTATTGTTTATTTATTTATTTCTTTTTGTTCATACTTTCCCGTATTGTACAGTTAATGTTGTTCTTCAATTGGCCCTTATATGCACATATCCATCTGAAGAATTCTATTAGGAACATTTTCATACCTAAATGAGCGCTGTAACACGAAAATTGAGATTACCACCAGGAAATAATACTAAACATATGTGGGCGGGAATTGGGAGTGTAGCGGGAAGGCGTCTGAGCGCTCACTCGCGGCCAACGCGTGGCCCGTCTTCAACTCGTCGGCGGTTGGAGCGTGACCAGGTTTTTTATTTTATATGCTAATATTCCTCTAGAGAATTCTATTACGAACCCATTGAGACCAAAATGAAAGACCTAGGACGAAAATTAAGGTGACCAGAGTGAAAATAGTGAAAACATTTTATCGCGTTTGCGCGCTCCCGGGTAACTCGTTCGCACTTTCTCTGCTTGCTGCGGCTGGGCTTTTGGAGTTTATATGCATTTAGTGCTGTAGAGAATTTTATTGCGAACACAATGATACCAAATTTAATCTCGTAGAACGAAAATTGAGGTGACAAAGTTGAAGAGAGTATACACTTTTCGGAATTGACGCGCGCTTCCGTGACACGCTGGGGCCCATATCGCCGTGTGGAGGGGTGGCGCGCGGGGTGCGCGAAAGTGTTAACATGTTGATACAAGAATGTTTCCAGGATGAGGTCTACAAATCTACAGGTCCAAAATTCTTCTGTTTTAGCTTCATATGCTTCCCAGTCTATGGATTTCAAGTTGAAGTCGCCGACTATCAACAGTCGTGATCTATTGTTATCCACTCTCGCTATAATCTCTCTCATTATTGTTATAAGACCTTCTCGTTTACTATGTAGCTCCTCCTTTGACCATGTGCTGCTTGGCGGTGGACTATATACATTTATGATCATTAGTTTATCATCCTCATGGCAGATCTCTAGTGCTATTATGTCAACTTCTTGTGGATTGGCAGTCGTTATTTCCTTCACCTTTAGGTGTTCTTTCACCAGCACAACAACAACGCCACCGCCTTTCCTAATTTTTCTGTCCCGTCTCCAAATTGAGTAACCCCTTGGGAATATGACCTCATTTAAAATAACAGGAAGCTTGGAAGGAGGCCAGGAGGCCTGGTCGACGACCGGGCCGTGGGGACGCTAAGCCCCGGAAGCACCTCAAGGTAACATCCTGCTGCAACATACTGTCTGATAAGTATTTACTTGGCTCTTGAGATCTTGCTTTTCTTGTTCTAAATTAAGACATTTTCCTTTATAAGCCCTTAGTAAATCTTCAATTATTACTAACCTGCCTAGAAAACCACCACTTGTAATTGTTTCCGAGTAAAATCTTTGAAGTCTGTCTCCTTTGCTGTCTCCACTGCCAATCCTGTCCCATCCGCCATTTTTGTTTTGATTTCGTCTGTTTTGGCTCCGATTCCGTGGGCCAAATTTGTTTTCATATATTTTTCACAACAATCGCTACTCTCCACCTTTTATCAATGATCTCTCTATATGAACGGTATCAGAAACACCACTTGAATAGTTTTCTCCTGCACTATCACCCAAATGGTACAATGACCCTGCTGTTCTCCATGCCTTGTTACCATGATGAGCTCTCAACCAACAAGTGAAAGATGAAAGAGAGGAGAGAGTGAGAAAAGATTGGGATTGACACACACACACATATACAGGAACAGTATATGCATTGCTCGTGGATTACAAGGTCTACTGTACAGAGCCAATGCGATATACAAATCAAAACATACCAGCTTCTTTAGGAGTGGTGCTGTTGACTTCCCGGATACCTTTTCTTGAGTTGGTATTGATACTGGAGGGGGTTTAGATACTGGAGGTGGCTTAGATACCGGAGGTGGTTTCGATACCGGAGGTGGTTTGGAGAAGTCGTACGAAAATGTGTTGGAAGGCATGTCATTCCTGAAAGAATATCATTGATTAATAATAAATACAAACTTAAGATGTTACAAACTCAATAGTTATGGGAATCTTACACTCTGGAATCTAGAATGTGGTTATCTTACTTTACTGCCAATGTCTTGAAGTGCATATGAAGCGTAACCCAGGAAACAAACTTCACAAGTTAATTAAGGAATCCATACAACAATATTGATAGACAATAAATTCAACTAAAAAGCTCCCTTACTTTACAATATAACACACAGTGGCTTATCTCAAATATTCTAATACATTTCAGTACCTCATATTGAGCCACATGTCACAAATAGGACGAAGCCTTCAACAATAATATGTTCAATGCTGTCCTTTTACTGTCCTTCAAATACTTTTGCAAAGGCTTCTTTCTAGAAGTGAATCCTGATAACATTGTTGCCTTATCCTGCAAATTTATACTTCAAGTTTTTTGACTTCCAATCAATATCAATCATGACTCCTGAATCATTTTAATATTCAGATATGGGAATTTCAACATTGTTTAGCTGAATCTCATACTGTACTTGTCAGTTTTAAATGGCGACTAAACCACACATCACAAAATGACGAAACGACCACATTTCGGTCCACCCTGGACCATTATCAAGTAGTGTGTTAGGATAATGGTCCACCCTGGACCATTATCAAGTAGTGTGTTAGGATAATGGTCCACCCTGGACCATTATCAAGTAGTGTGTTAGGATAATGGTCCACCCTGGACCATTATCAAGTAGTGTGTTAGGATAATGGTCCACCCTGGACCATTATCAAGTAGTGTGTTAGGATAATGGTCCACCCTGGACCATTATCAAGTAGTGTGTTAGGATAATGGTCCACCCTGGACCATTATCAAGTAGTGTGTTAGGATAATGGTCCACCCTGGACCATTATCAAGTAGTGTGTTAGGATAATGGTCCAGGACGGACCAAAATGTTGTCATTTCTTATCTCGTGATGTATTTTTGGTCATCATATCTTCAGTCACATCATTGTGACTCATCATCTGAGTATTAAATGGCATTTACCAAGCTTTCTTTCATTATAAAAGCTCATCTAAATTGTCAAAAAGATATTTTGAGTCTTCTGAATTTATTTGCTACACACACACTCGGGAGAGGGAGAGGTACATTACAGGAAGAGGTCTAACCCTTAAATATGCAAGCACTACAAACAAGCAAGAAACAAACACACAACAGTGAGGAGCGAGTCAGAAAGGAACTTTGAGAAAGGGGCAGCAAACAAATGAAAAACAGATCCAGGCCTTTCCTACAAATTCTTTAAATGCAAGCTGTATGTAAAGAATAAATTCCAGGGACAGAATGGGGGAACAAGGTAACTGAGAATGAAAAAGAAATGCGTGAAACACTATGAACAGTTCCAAAGTGTGTTTGTGCAAAATAAGGATTTCAGCAAACCAGACATATTGCCAATTGCAGAAAACACCATAGAGTACGTAGCAGTGTCTCGAGGCGAAGAAGAAAATGTTCTCGGGGGCTAGGGAGAAATAAAGTGATTGGACCAGATCAAATGATAAACTAATCATGTTTATCATTTGATATTGTATGTTTATCACAACTGTGGCTGACAGCCAACTTGCAAAATTGTCGTCATGGTCAATACTGAACAGGAAGAATTGATAGAAAAGATGAAAGGTTTGGGGGCATGTGGTAATTATCAGCTCACCATACTTGAGTAACTTACCTTGACACACTGTCTCTCCAGCCGTATCCTTCTGAAACAATAAAAGACTCTATACAAATTGATCCTTGTCTTTTGTTACTGCAATATACTGTATATTTATGCAAAAATACTATAGTGGTATGTTAACAAAATAATAATACATATTTCCTAGTGTTAATTCAGTGCATTGATGTTGTTTAACTACTGGATCTAATTGCTCCAGAATATAGTACTGGGTCCTGTTTGCAACAACTCAAGTGACATGCCATTCAAAGTTTGTTATATTTATAATTTCAAACTAAATACAATATTAAGTTTCTGTTATGGCAAATGGCAGAACACACTATTTACATATATTTTTGATACAATGTTACTTAGAAAAATGACAGGAGCCGGGAGCCGGTCGGCCGAGCGGACAGCACACTGTGCTTGTGATCCTGTGGTCCTGGGTTCGATCCCAGGCACCGGCGAGAAACAATGGGCAGAGTTTCTTTCACCCTATGCCCCTGTTACCTAGCAGTAAAATAGATACCTGGGTGTTAGTCAGCTGTCACGGGCTGCTTCCTGGGGGTGGAGGCCTGGTCGAGGACCGGGCCGCGGGGACACTAAAGCCCCGAAATCATCTCAAGATAACCTCAAGAAGGTACCCTAGTCGGGCCTGGGGTCTACCAGGGTCAACATTCTGGATATTCTCTAGTGTGTATAGCACCAGTGTCAGGTGAAGGAGAGTGTTTAACCCACTGACTGCTCATCCCAACAGGGGGGGGGGGGGCTAATTATGCTCAGATTGTGCATACTATCAGGTAAAATATTAGAGTACATCATAAGATTTTCAAACTCCCATGGGTGCACAGGGCTCACATCTGCTTTCTCAGGCCTCTAGTAAACAGAGGCCATTTTGAAAAAAAATAAAAATAAAATAAATCGTGGACACCGTTCTTGGCCTCCGTACTGACTGAATAACCACGGCTGGTGCATGCAACACGAGCTGACAGTACTGCTGTTCAACTTCTGTCCACAGAATTACTTAAAAACTATGAAACATATAAGCAACTGTTATAGTATTGTAAAGACAGTATCATAGAAGATCCGACTGTAATAAAGACTATGTACAATGTCGAGATATCAGTGAACACACAGCGCTTTACGATGTTCACAGCTGACGCAGATTAGCCACTGCACTTGTCCAGTGTTTGGGATATCAACGCATCATCGGGTGCCTAACAGCCGAGTGGACAGCGCTTCCGATTCAATCCCCAGTGGAGGCGGAAACAAAGGGGCAAAATGTTTCCCTCACCCTGATGCCCCTGCTACCTAGCAGTAAATAGGTACCTGGGAGTTAGACACCTGCTACGGGCTGCTCCGTGGGGGTGGGGGGTGGGAGGGGGGTAACAAAAAGGAGGCCCTGATCGAGGACTGGGTCGTGGGGACGCTAAAGCCCCGAAATCATCTCAAGATAACCTCAAGATAGATCGTGAAACCCCCTCATGCTCCTTTAGAGAAAATAAACTTGTGCATAAACTTTCAGGCTTCACCATGGCCAAAGGAAGTCACATATAATGTTCTTTATTATTTTTCCTGTGATCTTGGCACTGCATTTTAGCAATATTACAAGTAAAACAAATTTTTCTGAATTTTTATAACTTTATGAGGACCTGGCTGTTGCGTGGTATAATAAGTGGAACATCCCAAAGGAACTTTTAGTTCCGAATAGCTGAATCTAAACCAACAACAAGGCCAGGGGGTTAAAAGTACTCCGCCACACTGGTATAGAATATCAACCTACTCTGTTACTTAGTACAGTACAGTTACTACCCTGAGGCACATACGATCTTGCCCGTGACGTACGCTCCCGGGGCCAGTAGGGCGCCCGGGGCGGGGCGCACGAGTTGCCGCAAATATATTTATGTTCATTTTTGCATAAGGAGCAATAACAATGGCTCAGAAATGCTACAGGTATTATAGATTATCAGAATACAGTGCATATTAAATTCTCATATATGCTAAAAAGGTGGTGAAATTCAGAGGTGATGATTCAGTTGAATGATTTAAGAAAAATATTTAAGATGTGTTTGACATTTCCATGGAAGCTAACTATAACTTACTTTGTTCATGTTGACCCATCCTGCCATCACGTGCAGACATGTCGTGGTCCAGATGGTCCCTTGTATTATCATCTCTGGAAAGACAATAATTTCATCAATTAATTATTTCAGTTTCTTTCAGTTTCAACTTTGAAACTAAGATATTAGCAACATTGAAAACACAAACACTAGAAATTAAAACCTCTGTTTTCTAAGAACAGGTTTTTTTTCCATCTATAGAGTAATGTTTTTTTCTATCACATGAAAATTTAAGTATCCATGATCAGAGCATTTCCTATAATCAACTGAGAACTTATGAACAAATCCACAAGGGCCGTGACGAGGATTCGAACCTGCGTCCGGGAGCATCCCAGACACTGCCTTAATTGACTGAGCTACGACAGGGTTAAAAGGGTTGAAACCGAAGTTCTACTGAACTTACTGGATCCCGTAACCTCTCCGGGGCACAAACCAGGATTTTACACAACTCCCCCCCCCTGCACCTGAGCCATGTCAACAGGCCTTTCTCCTAACCCCCCTCCCCCCCCGCACCCGAGCTATTGACATAGCTCGGGTCAGGAGGGGGGGGTTGTGTAAAATCCTGGTTTGTGCCTCGGAGAGGCTACGGGATCCAGTAGGTTCAGTAGAACTTCAGTTTCAACCCTTTTAACCCTGTTGTAGCTCAGTCAATTAAGGCAGTGTCCGGGATGCTCCCGGACGCAGGTTCGAATCCTCATCACGGCTCTTGTGGATTTGTTCATTTGATGCATCACATTAGTGTGATCTCTGTGTGTAACTGAGAACTTGTATAATTTAAAGTAGAAATATTTCAAATATTTCAAAACATGTTCCTTTAAAATATTACCACAACTAATTTATATATACAAATATGCATTTCATCCTTTTGAGGTATTTTGGCAAGCATGCTTTTGTGTTGATATTTGCAGCCTAATCCTTGTATTTGTCAATATTTTCTACTGAAAATTCTGAGGGAATCCAATGCATTTCAATTCTAAATTGAAATGCGGCATACTTAATATAGTGCGCACCTGTACGATCTTGAGGGTATGTGCCGGGCAGGAGAGCGGCGTAAAGAATCACTGCTGGACGTGCCAGGTGGGCCAGGTTGGCCTGATGCACCAGAGTCCATGCCAGATTTATTTCCATCATCTAATCCACCAAAAGTTTTATCTATTAAAAAAAATACAAAATATAATAATATAATAAATGAGCAGAGCCTTATATTTATTTTATTTTCAGAAATTTTGTAAACAAGAATGAAACACGAATAAAAATGGACAATACTTTAGCATTAAGAATAAGTTTTAACATATACAGTAGCTTCTAAAGAAAGTAATACCATTTGATCTAAAATATGAAAACACATCAAGAAATTTATAGAAATATATTGAACCAGAGTTTTGAACGTATTGGTAAAACAACAGTCGAAGACACCAATGACAGCAACAGTTACCATTAATACTGTAAGACACAAACTGTTCTATAAATTACAGCCTATATATTTAGCCAGCTAGAATGATTGTGCACTGTGGCAATACAGCCAATACATACCCTTCATCTTCTCCCAGAGGTTCTTTTTCTGCAAAGAAGCAAAAAACACAAGCATCAAAAACTGTTTAAACAATTATTGCAATAAATTACACCATGGCAACCTATTCCATCTTCCCCACTTTCAGACTCTTGAGAGGCACTTGTGCTTGGAGTATCAAACTAATCACAAATACATGAAAAACATACACTAAATGACACTCGACATTCGGTACGGCCTCTTACTCTTGGCAATATACTGTATAAAGGAAAATGTAGCAGCACAGTAAACAAAATGCATGTAGTGGCATTACATGGCCCATGTGTAACAAAAATTGTAGCCAATCATTTCCTCATAAAAAACTGCTTTTACAAAGACCTACTCATTGCCACTTTCTGTGCACTACTCACACACACACATCACAGAATCAAGTTTACTATGTACACTTTCCTCTCTCTCTACCCATCCTCAACTTCAATCATAAACTCTCTCCACTCTTCTCACAATAATAGAAGTAGACTCATAGAACTACTAGTTCTCATGTGTCTTACAAGCAATTACACCAGACCTCCAACTTGCACGCTCCAGCTGTGTGTACGGGGACAAGAATAATGCTCCAGTAGGGACAAGTACTCTGTGGGACGAGTATAATTCTCCTCGGTGATACAGGACTTCAACTCTAAACTAATGTATACTTCAGTCTCTTTCATATGCACATCTTACAGATTCTCTCACACATACACTTGATCCAACTAGTATAATAGTTTTATGAAAAAAATAAATCCCACCAAGAACTAGGTATGAATATGTTACACAAGAAATAGTGTAAACCCTAAATTAGAATATATTAAGACTTGGGCAGAATTTAAGCTGCCCAATTATACTGTTCCCAAATCAGCATCTTTGTACAATAAAATCCATGTACAATATATATATATATTTACAAGTTCTTTAACATCATGTTATGTATTTCATTTACATATAATAATAATAATAATAATAATAATAATAATAATAATAATAATAATAAATACTGATATGTTCAAAAACAGTTAAAAAGTACAATAAAATATATGCAAATAGATATTACACTTCAGAATTACACATTAAGTCTGTTTCACTTTAGATCATCAGTTTACAACAGTATTTAATAACAACATTTGTATCATATATATTTAAGTTATAAAAGTAGCCTTTGATCTGTGCGAGAGATACGTTATTGGCAAAACTTACGCAGAGTAAAATAAATTTTACTGCATGAGAAAATTCTGGATGCATTTCAAAGATCTCAAAAATTATTGTTTTCCCCACTTATAAAAAAAACAGGTCTAAACATTATTGCTAACTCTAATTTTCATCGACAATTTTGATACACATGAAGCAGTGAACAGTCAAAATGTCAGTAAGTGGTATGTGAGCATCATGCACCAACTCAAGTACAGCCTATATCCAGCTTTAGTAATATAAAATTATTAGTGAAGGTAAATTATGACTTTTTAAACACAAAATTTCATTAAAAAAATACATTACTAAACCGAATAGAAAATTATTTGTATTAGTTTGTCACCGATTACATTGTACCTTATTTAACAAACCCATGCAGTTCCTTCCTTCAGAAAACACTCGCCCTTTTCATCAGTTACCGACACATTCTTCCACGGATCCAAGCATGCACTTTACCTACAATACCCAGACTAATGCCTTTCCAATTCTTTCCCAAAGATGACATATGATGTTATTAGGATATTACTCTATTATTTGACACAGAGCTCCTCCCCACACATACAAATTTACAAACAAATTTATGATCTGTATTTTCTTGCAAATCATTTAAAGTGTTTTTTTCTACAGCGCAGTATTATTTCATATACCTGAACTTTCCTCGCTTCCCTTTCTCTCTCTCTGTACACCCACATTACTGATGTACAACCAGACATAAAAGGCACCAATTATAAGGTGCCATTTAGGTGTTAGTTCAGGCTTTTGGTGGAAATTCATGGATAGTATTTAACAAAAGCAAGACTAAGACTTTACTATAGATAATTTGTAATGGTTGATTTGGACCAACACAAGTAAATACTTGTAATGGTCCAAATCCTACCATACCACTTTCACTTGTCTTGGTAATCTACCAATCATACTAATGAGAACCAGTTCAACTTGCAGACAATGAGCTTTAAAACTCATTCTTCCTGTCATTTGACTATTTGCTAAGCCTGTATTGGTGTATGTAGATGAAGCTCCAACCATGTTAGGAGCTAACCAGTAGTTTTTTGGCATTGGCCAAAAATAGAAGATACGCGCTGCATGATGCAATTAAGTTATTGACTTCTTGGAGATGAAACTTGTATGAATGGCTTTTTTAATAGTGACGAGTACAGTACTAGGCCATAGGAGGCAACAGGTGACATTACAGTTGCAACTCCTGTCTCAATCCACTCAACTGATTTTGGCTGGTTATGAACCTCAGTCAGGGGTACCAATCCTTAACTTTTTACCCCTGCTCCCCAAGTAGTGATTGGCATTCCAGTTGTAAACCAATTGATTGGTTGTGATACCTCCTGTATAAAAAGAAACTCTAGGTCCATCAGAGCAGTGCAAAAAGTCATCTCAACAAATTATTGTTGGGTCATGAATTGTACCATCTTTAATGGCTAAGCTGTTGGAACCAAACTAATTTGCGACAGACTTTACTTCAACAATGATGAGAATCATTGAGATGAAGGAAAGGACCTATAGCAGGAACGAATTTAGACATGATCGTGCGAGTCTTCTCTCGGATTCAGATAAGAGCGGATAAGCTGCTAATATTAATATTGGAAACAAACATCTCTAACTTTCCTGCTGAGGAATGACTCAGCAGGCCACAATGCTGGCTTATTTAAATAAAGTCTTTCAATGCTTCCTAGTCTATACTTCTTTCAGGCTGTGTACTTAATGCAGAAAGCATGACCACATTTAAAATTTAAACAGAAAATATGCTTCTTCAAGCTGCAGGAGAGAGTGTGATGAACCAGAGGCCGAATGCCCCCTTCCAAATTTCTCAGTCCTCGAGCTCAATTTTTTCGAAAAATTCAACTTGGAATTCGGAGTTTGCATTGGTGCTTGAGTTTCTTAATACACATATGGGATAACTGAGCTTCAGTTTACCAGTGTCTCCCGCCTAATGACGACCGAGCGTGAATTCTTTGTGAAGAATTTTAGCATTTTTGAGTTTTTTTTTTTTTTTGTTTCTGAACATATAAGTTCTTATTATATATACCGGAGAGTACCACTTCTGGATGGAAGAGGGGCTGACAGCTGAGTGGACAGCGCTTCGGATTTGTAGTTTTGAGGTTCCGGGTTTGATCCCCAGTGGAGGCGGAAACAAAAGGGAAGAGTTTCTTTCATCCTGATGCTCCTGTTCACCTAGCAGTAAATAGGTACCTGGGAGTTTAACAGCTGCTACAGGCTGCTTCCTGGGGGTGTGTGTGTAACAAATAGGAGGCCTGGTCGAGGACCGGGCCACGGGAATGCCAAGCCCTGAAATCTCGAGATAACCTCAAGATAAGAAGGGGGACCCTTAGCCTTGAAGGAAAGTGCACACAATGCATTAGAAGGGATGTTTAGGGCCCCTCCATTAGAGTTTCTATGTTCTTTTCTCCTACCACCCCCTTCCTTTTGTGTCTTGTTGTGCTTTATTTGATATTTGAAGTTCACAAGATGTACATTAGTTAATACAATGAGTGTTTAGAGTTTATGAATCTCTTGGAGCTCCTCCACTTCCAGATAGGAACCAAGGACGCAGCAGGCATTTCCCCTCTGGATCGCCACACTTAGACATTGAAACAAGAAACTGGCAGCCCTTGGGTCTCTGGTGATGTCAATGAGCCTGGAACACAATTCTTTGAGAAATCCCAAGGCCAGGGAGGGGGGTGGGGGGTGGGCATGCATCTCAAATGCCATGAAAACAAAATATATATTGATCTTCCAGTCACTTGCACTTGAATGATTTTCCTGGTATATTGCCAGGGGTATATTTGCCTTGGGTATATTGTGATGCCATCTGGGCGAAGTGTGGGGTCATCCGGCTTTTGGTCCTCTAGGATGCGAGGTTCTCTCTCTGTTGAGCACTGAGCTGAGGCAGGGCTTCTCTTGATGATGTCCTTAACCTTGTTGTGTCTTACATGCCAGGGCTTTGTGCTTCCAAAATGCAACCCGTGCAGTCCATATTGGTCTGCTTCCACCCTGTTGCAAATACACTTTTATTCAGTGTGAATTGGGGCACCAAGGCAGAGGGCCACTGCTACACGAAGGGATTCTGGATCTAGGCGCATGCCTGTTGCCGACATGGGTACTGCCAGAAGAAAGTCCCCTGCATGAGGGGCAGGCACTGCTCTGAGGCAAGATTTCTCCTTATCTGATGTTATAGGGAGGGTTGCTCGTTCCCATCGAGTCATCCAACGGAAAGTTTAGGACTTTCTCCAGCAGGGACCTCAGAAGGATGTCATACTCGCTTAAGTATTTTTTTCATACTATATAAATATATATATTTATTTATTTGATATATATATAACATATATATATATATATATATATATATGCGAAGAAAGACTACAGAAACACACAACCATAAATCACTAAGAACTCTATATAACCCGACCAAGATTCGAACCGGCGACGTTGACCCGATATACACCCCTAAACAAACACAGTACCGTTACCACTGCACCAATTGATCATATGGTGCAGTAAGGAATGATCTAAAGGAGCAGGTTGTAGAGGAAAACTCAATTCACAACTTAACATTCAAAGCAGGTATGAGAGGGAAATAAGCAAGTAGTCATTGCATTAGACAACTGGCAGCTAGAAAATCAGGGTCTAATAGCTAGAACTCAACCCAGCAGGCACAAACAGGTGAACACACACACATGCACTAGGGAGCCGGTGGCCGAGCGGATAGCACGCTGGACACGTGATCCTGTGGTCCCGGGTTCGATCCCGGGCGCCAGCGAGAAACAACGGGCAGAGTTTCTTTATCCCTATGCCCCTGTTACCTAGCAGTAATTAGG